GGGGAGTAGAGTGAGATGAGAGGTAGGGGAGTGTGTGGAGGGGAGTAGAGTGAGATGAGAGGTGGGGGAGTGTGTGGAGGGGAATAGAGTGAGATGAGAGGTAGGGGAGTGCGTGGAGGGGAGTAGAGTGAGATGAGAGGTAGGAGAGTGTGTGGAGGGGAATAGAGTGAGATGAGAGGTAGGGGAGTGTGTGGAGGGGAGTAGAGTGAGATGAGAGGTAGGGGAGTGCGGCCTACCCGTACCGTTTGTACACGCGGCTCCTGTCCTGGTTTCTTGAGTTCTCAACCCTGGGTGAATAAAGATAAACTTAACTTGACTCACTCTTCACCCACCATCTCACCCACCAACACACTCACTGTCACCCAAACACTCATCCATTTACCCACTCACTCACTGACACTTTAAAATGTCACCCACCGTGGTCTCAGCCTGGTTAAAAAACACTCTCTTACACTGAAATAGAAGGGACTCCATCTCTAATTCACATCGACAAAGGGTCTACGTAATTATGTCGGGGAACTGCTGCTGATAATGATGTTTGCGGTGAGTCTTATTTTTAAAAATATATCATTCCCGATAGTGAGCTCCTGCAAATATTAACAAAGTTGTTGATCTTCAGCAGCTGGGAAACCAAAGAGGGACCCATTGAAAATATGAAACCTGGAGTGCAAATATTCCCTGACAGCACATCACGCCTTCTAACTATAAGGGATGCGGTCACCATTCATTATTGGGCTCTAGGGTGGGATGGGGTCAGCCAAACGTCGTGTGTCGTAAACCCTCCTGCAGCCTACACAGTCAACGAATTAAGTTATTAATAAAGTTATTAGTAAAGTTATTAATCAAGTTATTGATAAATTTCGATTTAAAGCTTTCGTGACTGCAGGGATTCTCTTCTTGGTTCTTTCGGTAAAGTCACGTAGAAGGGAAGTAATAAAATAATAAAAATAAAACATAATAAAATAATTCTCACGACGTTTCGGCCACAACGCAAGCAGCTGTCCTCAGGTGAAGAATGAAACACCACCAAGCTTGGAGCGTATATTTAAGCTGGGTTGGAGGGGGGGAGGTGGGAAGAAGAGCGCCTTGACAAAATAATTTGGAATTGTCCTTCCTCGCACGGCACAAGCATTACCGTCCAGCACCACCGAGCGCTGTTTTGCGTTTGCCGGACACCCACCGACAACATCTCATGGGAACGCCTTTTGTGCCGGTGTCAAAGTATAAAAAAATGAGAATAAGTTTTGACCCCCTGTTGACAATCAAACAGGAGGCGAGAAGATGTCCAAACACCGAGTAGATATACCCCCTTTGCGAAGACTCAAGTTACTGCATTAACCAGGCATGGTACTTATGGTGGACATGCAATCAAACATTGCCCTGATAAACACGTTCCTTCGGAGTGGGCAGGTAGGAACTTGGTTGGACAGCGCATTCGTGCACGACAGACAGACAAATAATCCCTGGTGGGCAGTGTGGAACCTGTTGTTCCTACCTGTATGTATACAAGATAACTTGACTTTAGGTAGCCAGGCAGACAGCCCCCTTAACTATCGCCCCCCTCCCTCCCTTAGGCCCCTCGCCCCTTAGGCCCCTCCCCGGACCCCCTTTCCCTTAGGCCCCTCCCCTAACCCCCCTTTTGTTAGGCCCCTCCCCTGAGCACCCCCCCCCATATCCTTAAGCCCCTCCCCTGACCCCCCCCCCCCTCAGGCCCCTCTCCTGACTCCCCCCTTCCTTAGGCCCCTCCCCTGACCCTCCTCCCTTAGGCACCTCCCCTCTCCGTACCCGGCAGTAGGTCTCCACCAATCAAAGAGCTGTTTGTAAGGTCTCCACCAATCAAAGAGCTGTGTGTATTATATATTATGTACGACAGACAAACAGACAGTCAGACAGACAGACAGCTAAATAATCCCTGGTGGGCAGTGTGGAACATTGTTCCTCCCTGTATAGTATATGGGCATCAGAGGTCGCAAACGGGTTTTGATTCCTTACCCGTACCCGTACCCGGCCGCACCAGGGTCGCAAATGGGTACCCGTACCCGGCCGGGTACAGGTACCCGTTCCCTACCCGTACCCTACCCGAAATGAGTGACAAACGGTGACTCACCAGTGACTCACGACCTACCCATACCCGGCCGCACCAGGCTCGTAAACGGGTACCTGTACCCGTACCTGGCCGGGTACGGGTAGCCGGGTATCGGGTAGGGTACGGGTATCGGGTACCCGGTTGCGACCTCTGATGGGCATTGTCTTTGAAACTTATTGTTCTGTACCAGAGACAGCCTTCTTCATGGCCGAGTGTTCACCAGTGTCAGAGCAGAGAACAACGTCAACAGGTGAACAGGACAAGGACAATGCCACACGTATCAGAGCATTTATAGCTCGGGGTGAGCAGCAGCGATATCATGGGATACCTTGTTGTCAGTATCAAAGTAAGAAAAATAAGAGTACGTTTTACCCTCGTCTGGCAATGAAACAGGTGTTAAGATACTCTTTGGTTCTTTCGATAAAGTCACGTAGGTATAACATGAAATAAATCACGACGTTTCGGGCGCAACACAAGCGTCCGTCATCAAGAGTATGGATATCTGCAGTCATGAAAGCTTCAAATCAAGGTGTTAAGATGTTCAAACACAGAATAGATACCTTTTGAAAGGAATTAAGTCTGAATTAACGAGACTTATTTGTGATGAACATGCAATCAAACATGCACCAACACGGTTAATGCAGACTTGAATCGAATCAAGTCTCCCAGCAAAACCCAATTTAGTGGAAGCAGGAGACTGAACCCAAACACTCGGGGTTCCTCCAGTAACGGCAAGAATCACTGCGAGTGGCCACGTGGAATGTTCGAGCCCTCACTGCAGAGGAGAGGCTGCCACTCCTATCGGGAGCTGGACCGGTACCGTCTGGATCTGAGGCAGTCAAGACTGGTTCTGCTCCAGTCCCCATCACGGGTGGACAGTCCTCTACTCGGAGCTGGAGACTGCCAAGCAAACAGGATGTAATAATAGGGGGTTTCCCCTTTTTTTCTGGCGACAAAACTTAAACCTTTTGCAAGAAATCATGTTTACATTAACCACAATACTTGCAGTCAGAATGAAAACAATAACACACTCTGATAATGTATGCATTGTCCTTGAAACGGATTGGTCCACACCAGAGACAGCTTTCCTTAGAGTCTAGTCTCATACGGTGTTCGACCAGATGATGCCAAAATGAAGGGGGCGTGGGAGCGTGGTGGCGAGGTGTAGGAAGCTGTGAGTCCCTGGCTACTGTGGGGTCGCCTCCCCATCGACGGGAGGTAAAGAATGGCAGTGGTGGTGGCTTACCAACCCACCAAAGATGAACATCAGTGGAGGGATGCAGGCAAGGCCGATGAGTCAGATGCCTTCTATGACCTCCTATCACAGGTGCTTGCTAAAGTGGCCCCTCAGGATAGAGTCATCTTGTTGGGTGACTTTAATGCCCGAGTGGGTTATGACACTGACACCTGGGCTGGAGTGATTAGAAGGCATGGGCCAGATCGGCGACTCCACACATCAGAATTATGCAAACTGGGTCCAAGAACGAACTTTGCTGGGCTATATAGTGACGGAACAGCGGATGGGAGCCCATGTCCTTGACACTAGGACCTACTGTGGAGGTGATCTGGCCACTGACCATCGGCTTATTATTTGTAAGATGCACCTGCCATTTTTCTTTTTCGGTGATGGGCGTCCATCTAGGACCCCATTCACACCCACGGTGGCCTGGTCTCAGCTTGCTAATGAAGGTTGCAAGCGAGAATTTCAACATCGTTTGGAGCTAAGGTTGGCATCGCACCCTCCTCCTGATTTCGAGGGGAAATGGGCGAGGTTTGGAACTGTGGCTCATGCAGCTGCGATGGCTGCTTTGTATAAACGGTAAATACCTCCCCAGAGACCGTGGCTGAAGGAGGTATTCCGGCTGGCTGAGAAGAAGGGACAGGCCCAATCCCACCATTGACAGTAACCCACATCGTTGAATGAGGAGGCTTTCCGCAGCCCTCACTTGTAGGTACGGAAAGCCTTGCGGTGCCTTAAGGATGAGTGATGGTCGCGGGTTCCTGAGAATATAGAATTTGCCTTCGTAGCCCGCGATCACAAATCAGTTTATTTTCATCGAAAAGTAACTTGCAGCACCACACCTATTGCCATGTTTAAGGGAAATAAAGGTGATCCCATGTTCAACCCCCAGGAACTGGTTTGCAGGTTTGCTGAGCATTTAAGACATGGCTTTTCCTCACAGATGCCATATTGTTTGCCCATCTTCTACAACAGATGTGTCGGGAATTTCAACAGGACCTACATCTTTGCTTGATTGACCTGGTCAAGTGAAGAACAGGTCTGTCGGAAAGACAACGTCTGAATGAACAAGTCTGTCGGGAAGACAGCGTCTGAATGACGCTGTCTTCCCGACAGACCAGTTCTTCACCTGAGGACGGCTGCTTGCGTTGTGGCCGAAACGTCGTGAGAATTATTTTATTACGTAAATTTTTTATTATATTATTAATTCCCTTCTACGTGACTTTACCGAAAGAACCAAGAAGATGAATCCGCTGGTTCAGCAGCTCCACTGCTGGATTATTTCTTCCGCCCGAGAACGACCGCTTGTGTTGCGATGGAAACGTCGTGATATATTATATTTTATTTTTCTACCTACGTGACTTTACCGAAATAACCAAAGAGTATGTGTACAAGAAGATGTTTTGACAGCCCATCAGCCGCTGGGTGGGGGGGAGGGCATTGACATTGGGTCCACATCACCTTCGCGTAATTTGATGCTGCGTTGGCTGCTGCCTATGCGCGGGACCAAATGCAATGCCCTCGCCGCGCGTGAGCGATAGGGGTGGTGGGGGCTTTCAGTGTAATTTGCGAATGCAATCGATTGTAAATCCTAGTGCATGTAGGCGACGAGGCGACGTCGTGGTGTCAATAAAAACACGAGGGGTCTCGGTGGGGCGCGCAGAGCCTCGGAGCCATTCAAAGTTCACGGCTGGAGCCAGGTGAGATCCCATTGAGATCGGTTCCGCATTTCGTCTGTCGCTAATCGTCATCATGGTCCATCCATTGCTGGATGGAGATCGATGTGAGCATGGTGGTGTCTTTGCTGTGCGTGTGTTCTCTAAATCCACGTGTTCATCTCTCTATTCTCTAAGTGTAATCGCCATCATGGTCTATTCACTGCTGGGTGGAGATCGATGCGATTTTGATGAAGCTATTGATGATGATTGTTAGTGAGGTCGCAGCTGCTGCTGATAAATAAAAAAAAGTATTAAAATCATTTCACAATCTCAGCTTGTAACACGCCGCACGGCATTCGATTGCTCTCTCAGAGAGAGACAGAGAAAGACAAAGAGACAAAGACACACAAAGAGAGAGAGAGAGAGACAGAGAGAGACACACACAGAGAGAGAGACACAGAGAGAGACACACAGAGAGAGAGACACAGAGAGAGACACACAGAGAGAAACACACAGAGAGAGACACAGAGACAGAGACGAAGCGACTCAGCAGGTACAAGCAGGAACCACAGACAGGCAGTGATCCGGTGCTCCCAACAGATGTCCCAAGCTCTGCGGTCCCCTCTATGTATCACGATGTGCGTGAGGCTATTAAGGCGTCTAACGCGTGGGAGGAAATGGGAGTGCCCGGATAAAAAATTAACCCGTAAAAACAAAGTTTTTCACTATAAATCCTTTATATGCGTGGCATCGGTTTTATTTTTTTATTCATCTGTTTTTCTTGAGTAAGAGTTTCATTTTTATAGTGTGTTGACACACATCCAGAATAATTTTCTGTGTTTAGGAAAAATATATGATTGTGTTAGTGAAATTTTTTTTTTCCTAAAAAGTGTAAAATTTTGGAAAAAAATTTTCACGAAAATTAATTGTCACGCACAACGAGTCTGTGTGGAAAATGTCAGCTCGATTGGATCACGGGAAGTGGGTTAAAAAACGACCTAAAGATTTGCACGGTCGTAAGCAAGCCAGCAAGCACGCAAGCAAGCAAGCGAACTTAATATAAAGGATTAAAAAAAAAAACCCAATCAGCGTGCGAGGGGGCAACACTCGATCCCGTACAGATGGAACAGATTGAGATTCGTCCACAGACTCTGCTGTACCACTTCCCCCTGGTAGAGCCAGGGGGTCACGGCTCATCACCGACACCCACCCACGGATAGAAGGGAGTTTCACAACGTCATCTGTGTGTGATCCACCAACCATCGCGCCATCCACACCGCGAGAATACAACAGGGGTGCCGATGCTGATGCTGCTGCTGATCTTGCTACTGAATATGATGCTGATTTTGGTACTGATTATGATGCTGATTTTGCTGATCTTGCTACTGATTATGATGCTGATCTTGCTACTGATTATGATGCTGATCTTGCTACTGATGATGATGATGATGCCGATTTTGCCGCCGAGATCGCTGCTGAGATTGCTGCTACTTCTGGGATTGCTGATGTTGATGCCGATGATGATGCGGATTTTGCTGCTGGATGCCGATGTTACTGCAGCTGCAGCTGCTGCTGCTACTTCTGAGATTGCCGATGATGTCGACGACGCTGCTGATGTGCCAATCAAACCCCCCCCCCCCCAGCCACATCTCTAAGCGTCGCGTGTTCTTTGCTGCTCCCCGCAGGAGGGCGCCATGAGGGCCGTGCTCACCATGACCGTCACCTTTCTGGCCACGATGAACTCGCTCTTCCAGAGGTACCACTAAGACAGCGGCCGATGACCCCCCCCCCTACCCCCGCGTAGCCTCAACCAGACCGAGCGCTGTGAGCGAGCAGCAGGCAGCAGCAGCAGGCAGCAGCAGCAGCAGGCAGCAGCAGCAGCAGACAGCAGGCAGTAGGCAGCAGCAGCAGGCAGCAGCAGCAGCAGACAGCAGGCAGTAGGCAGCAGCAGGCAGGAGCAGCAGGCAGCAGCAGCAGCAGGCAGCAGCAGCAGGCAGCAGCAGCAGGAGCAGCAGGCAGCAGCAGCAGGCAGCAGCAGGCAGGAGCAGCAGGCAGCAGCAGCAGCAGGCAGTAGCAGCAGCAGCAGCAGGCAGTAGCAGCAGCAGGCAGCAGGAGCAGCAGGCAGCAGCAGCAGGCAGCAGCAGCAGGCAGCAGCAGCAGGCAGTAGCAGCAGCAGGCAGCAGCAGCAGGCAGTAGCAGGCAGCAGGAGCAGCAGGCAGCAGCAGCAGGCAGTAGCAGCAGCAGGCAGCAGCAGCAGGCAGTAGCAGCAGGCAGCAGCAGGCAGCAGGCAGTAGCAGGCAGCAGCAGCAGGCAGTAGCAGGCAGCAGCAGGCAGTAGCAGGCAGCAGCAGCAGGCAGCAGCAGGCAGCAGCAGCAGGCAGCAGCAGCAGGCAGCAGCAGCAGGCAGCACCTGGTGCTGCTGTTGGCACACGAGCAGCAGGCAGCAGCAGGCAGCAGCAGCAGGCAGCAGCAGCAGGCAGCAGCAGCAGGCAGCACCTGGTGCTGCTGTTGGCACACGAGCGGGGGGGTCGGTGATCAGCACCACGTGGGTAAGGGGTGACGAACCCGCCTATGACCCGAGTTCGATTCTCGCTCACGGCCAACACCGGGGACGATTATTTAAACCGCTCGTGGTCGACTCAGGCCTCTAATGAGGACCTGGATGTGTAAACATCGCCACTAGGGGAGACAAAGGCGGTCGGGCGTGGTGCTGGCCACCCACACTCCCTCGTGTGTCGTGACAGTCTTCATTAGGTGCTCGCTAACAGCACTTGCCCCGACAGTCTGTTCAGGCTACAGGGGGATCTTTGTCTTTGCCTTTCTGATTGGATGCGATTGTAGAATGCCTTTTTAAAGGGCTTCTCTCAGCTCTAAGTGGGCAATACACCCCCGATTATGATTATTTACTTTAGTTAAGAGTTCCCTCCCATCTTCTTGCTGTATTTGCCTCTGTTTGCCGTTCTCTGTGTGCTCTGTGTGCGATGTCCCTCTGTGTGTGATGTCTGTGTGTGATGTCTGTGTGTGATGTCTGTGTGCGATGTCCCTCTGTGTGTGATGTCTGTGTGTGATGTCTGTGTATGATGTCCCTCTGTGTGTGATGTCTGTGTGTGATGTCTGTGTATGATGTCCCTCTGTGTGTGATGTCTGTGTGTGATGTCTGTGTATGATGTCCCTCTGTGTGTGATGTCTGTGTGTGATGTCTGTGTGCGATGTCCCTCTTGTGTGTTCCCTCGCTGTGTGGTTTATGCCATTTTCACCTGAGGACGAGCGCTTGTGTTGCATTCGAAACGTCGTGATCTATTTTAATTATATTTTATTTTATTTCTACATACGTGACTTTACTGAAAGAACCAATGAGTATACAGTGAGGGAAAAAAGTATTTGATCCTCTGCTGATTTTGTACGTTTGCCCACTGACAAAGAAATGATCAGTCTATAATTTTAATGGAAGGTTTATTTGAACATTGAGAGACTGAATAACAGCAACAATAATCCAGACAAACGCATGTCAAAAATGTTATAAATTGATTTGCATTTTAATGAGGGAAATAAGTATTTGACCCCCTCTCAATCAGAAAGATTTCTGGCTCCCAGGTGTCTTTTATACAGGTAACGAGCTGAGATTAGGAGCACACTCTTAAAGGGAGTGCTCCTATTCTCAGCTTGTTACCTGTATAAAAGACACCTGTTCACAGAAGCAATCAATCAATAAGATTCCAAACTCTCAACCATGGCCAAGACCAAAGAGCTCTCCAAGGATGTCAGGGACAAGATTGTAGACCTACACAAGGCTGGAATGTGACGTCACATTTCTCAACCCCCAGTTCTACCTGAAGACGGAAGCTTGTGTTGCCTCCGAAACGTCGTGATTTTTATTTTATTTTTATTTTACTTTTATTAATACAATTTTTTTTAACCTACGTGACTTTACCGACAAAACCTAAGAATATGAATCCTTGCAGTCACGAAAGCTTCAAATCTAGAATTTCACTTCGTGTTGATGGAGCGCCTTCGCACCACGCCCACAGATCTCGCTTTGGGCGACATCGGCAGAGAGGAGCTCGCGATGGGGACCGCAGTAGCGAGAGAGGCGGTCCCGTAGGTCGATTCGGGCCGAACGTTGTTGTTGTCTCCCCCCCCATCCATCCCCTCCTGCCCACAGTATGACTCAGGCTCAACCCACGGAGAACGCCACCGGATACGAATACTACGATTATATAGAGGACGGCGACCCCGTCGTCATTGCGACCCTAAATAAGAAAAACTTCCAATTCGTCCAGCAGCTGATTGACCAGAAGGACCACATCAAGGAGACCCGACCGCCCAATAACGGTGAGCTTCGAAAACCCTCCCCCCCCCTCCACCACCACCACTGCGAGACGTCTGGTGGATGTGGAAGAGCGAGTGGGGTGGCGGGGTTGGGTCCCTCCGAGTGTGCTCGGACAAATGGTCTGCACACGTTGACTAAATAAAAATAAAAATTCACGCATCTCTCTTCGTGCAAGGGAGTCAAATTGGAGGATCTAAAAACACAAAACTCGCGTTTGGTTGCGATGTTATTGACGTTCTGAGCAGGGGCGGTTTCTTCATTAGGGCGATTGGGCGACGCACCACCAATGTCATTCAACCACAGTCACGCTAGCCGTCACTGCAGCCTCTGGATATAGTCCAATCAGCGTCATGTCACGTTCTGTGGAGTACCGCCTCTTTTTGGGCGATTTCACTCCGGCTGAGAATCGCCCCAAGTGGCCCCATAGACTTACATTCAAAGATGTTTTTTTTCGAACGGGGGCGCTCCAATGCATTCTCTATGGCTCCGGGAGGGCAAGCCCCAACGTGCTTACGTCATCATACGTGCTTACGTCATCATACGTAAGCACGTTTCATCCAACAATATAATTTATCGCTACCGAGTGGAATCTTTAATAAAATAAACTTGAGTGGTTTGTTTTAATAGTGAGTATAGAAACAAACAAGATGTATTGTAAGAGTCACTTTATTTTTCATTAATATAATATTAAAGAAGTGAAGTTGCCTTTACATGCTTAAGCTGTTAATTTATTCATTGCATGGGTGGACCTTAATCATCCAGACATTTGCCCCCCCTGAGAGATTTTGCAGGAGCCGCCACTGGTTCTGAGTAACGTCCCTTCGTAGTGGCACAAGATATGGGCAAGGAATGTGACCATTCTCAGACTCATACTCTTAGGTTTTTCGGTAAAGTCACGTAGGTAAAAAAGAATAGAAATTAAAATAGAAATAAAATAATAAATCACGACGTTTCGGAGGCAACACAAGTCTCCGTCATCAGGTGGGACCGTCACAGCCAGATTTACTGTCTCAAGTGAGTAAATGTAGCTGTGACGGTCCCACCTGATGACGGAGACTTGTGCTGCCTCCGAAACATCGTGATTTATTATTTAATTTCTATTATTATTTCTATTATTTTTTATTTTTTACCTACGTGACTTTACCGAAAAACCTAAGAGTATGAATCCTTACAGTCACGAAAGCTTCAAATCTAGAATCCATTCTCAGACTCTTCTCTCGCACCTCCACTCCTCCCCGTCCCTTCCCCGATAGCCCTTTCGTGATCCCCAAGTACGCAACTATCGCAGACACTCATTCCCCTATACCCTGTAGCGTGTGTCTATAATGGGGCCTTAAATAAAATAAAAACACAAAATATTAAAACACAATTTCTTTATGATAATTGTTTTTTTACCCTTCTATCTGTTTGCATAGACCGCAATACCAGCAGTCATAATACAATAATGTATGCACTGTCCTTGAAGTTGATTGGTCCACACCCGAGACAGCTTTCCTTAGAGCCTAGTCTCACATGGGTTGGACCAGATGACGCCAAAAGGCGCACAATTTCTTTACTTGCATAGTCAAGTAATTGCATTTTTTCATTTGCCAAACAGCTGGAAAACACGACAAATCGCTCACGTGAAACACCCAGTCGTTAATAAAAAAAATTAAGGCAGTATAGTATTGTAGTAATAGAGCAAGTGCAGAATCACTGAACCGGACGATAGCTTAAAATCTTCTTGGTTCTTTCGGTAAAGTCACGTAGAAGGGAAATAATAAAATAATAAAAATAAAACATTTCTAACAGCCACACATTCACAAATTTCCCTTTTATATATTAGGAATGAACATTGCCCCAAACTTAGCACTATTAAATATATATTTTACCAGGTAAAGCATACCGAGCTATGTAGCTCTTTTTCAGAAACGACCTGCCCACAAATGATAGCCCAACGAATTGGCTCATCACGTGGCCATATTGACAGCCAGACAATCTAAAACGCGTGATGTTGTTTCGTAAATGTGGAGACAAAAAGCGGAAGCCCCGGAGAAAAATCCACGCGACCACAGGGAGAGAGATTACATGGAAGCTCCAAATATACAGCAGCAGCAGGCGTCGGGGTTGCGATCGAACCCACGACCTCCTGTAGACCAGGCGAGGTGGTTAACATCTCGACAGGGTGCTTCAATTGTTTAACACTTCTGAGAATTTGCATCAATACCACGAGAAATGTGCCTCCGGGCTCTGGAGACCAACTGCAGAAGATTCCAGCCACGTGTTGACAATGATGTCGAACAAGTGGAGATTGACTTTTGGAAGCTATTAACAGACATTTGTTATCATGTTACAGTGTATTATCCGTTCTTTCCCATTAACAACGATAGTCCCCTTCGTCCCATATAAGTGTTAACACTTTTTTGAAGTGCTCTGTATTAGCGATGCAATGAGGAGTGGTGGTGCAGTGGTTAGCGCACCGCACTACAAACTTGATGACCCGAGTTCCGTTCCCGCTCACGACCCTAATAGCAGTGGAATTATGAGAACAGCTCCTGGGGCTCCCCTAAGTCGACTCGGCCTCATCCGAGTACCTGGTGCAGTGTGTCACTACAATCATCAGCAGTAGGGGTCTGTGTCAATACAGACGTACCTCCTTCACGCGCTCAGGATGCGTTTATAGTTGTATGTTGAACTTCTTTCGCACCGTAAGTAGCCAACCGTGCTAATAGATTACACTGGTCAACAAAAAAAAACATTTTTTTCTGGCCTGGACTTTTGCAGCTGTTTTAGACTAATTTCAGGGTGCTGATTCCAAATCTGATCTCAGATTTGCTCTATCACATCATTTTTATGCTATCGGCATACCCCATTTTCATTGATTTTACCCGAAATTAACTCTGTCACTTATGATTGCAAGTTGTTGCGAGTCAGTGACTGCTTTAGTGTTAAAATATGGTGCTGTATTTTTAGGATAGTGTGTTTATAATATAATTTTATGTAGATATCCAAATTTATTTAATATTTTTCTTCTGCAGTTTTTATTGAAAATGCAATATTTTAATCTCAAAAACCTGATGTGATAGACAAAAACTGATGCCAGATTTGGAATCAGCACCCCAAAATTACCTTTAAACCGTTGGAATACCTTATTCCAGAAAAAGTCTGTTGACCAGTGTTATGCTCCAGATGATGCTGCTACTGCGGCTGTCTTTGTTGCTACTACTGCTGCTGTGTTTGCTACTGCTGCTGCCCATGGGGATTCTGCTGTTGCTGATGATGATGTTTGTCTTTTAGGCCATGTCGTCAATGTCAATATCAGCATCTTCATCAGCAGCATCGGGCCCATAGACGAGACCAACATGGTGAGTGATGGCCGAGTTCCTAACGGAGGTCCTAACAACGCGCTGAGTGACGCGAGTAGCCGGGCAGCACAACAGTCGACTTGCATCGTCCGGGGCTCGCTCAACACGGCCGTGTCTCACACACAGAGACCCGACACTCCGACTACAAACTAACGTAGAGGCTCAGAGATACATAGACTCGCAGACATACTCATAGGAGGTAGGTATGTATGTAGAACTTATTTCTCACCATACGTAGCCAACCGTGCTAAATGGAAATACAGAGACTCAGCGATTCATAGAGACTGGGTGAAACGTGGAGTAAGCTTTGCCCAAATCCTAGCCTGCCGGCTTAAAAACTTAATGACTAAAGTAACAGAGACTCAGACTCCAAGACACATAAACTTGCAGAAAAGTGGGCTAAGTGTTTCCCGATCCTGGCTAGCTGTCTCAACAAACTTAAGAAACTAACAAGCGGTAGCGTATTTGCTGCTTGTTGCAAGGGCTCACAATTGCAGTCCACAGCCACACTGCTGGTTAATACACAGTGGCTAGGAGATGTCAAATACCTCGCCTGGTATACAGGAGGTCGTGGGTTCGATCCCTTTTTAAATAATAAAGCGTGTTTTCACACACACTCAAGTGAGTTAAAGCAGCCGACACGCCGCGGCTGCGTATATAATTTCTGAAACATTTTAAAAAATACACGGGGGAAAGGTGGTAAGGGCTACAACTCATTGCCAAAAGGGAAGGAGGGGGGGGGTCTAATTGTGCTGCTCTATACAATAAAATACAAACATCGCTCATCTTGGCGGTAAGGGTCGAGATGAAAACAGAATATATGCATACTCTTAGTTTTTTCGGTAAAGTCACGTAGGTTAAAAATGAAATTAAAATGAATACAAATAAAATAATAATAAAATAATCACGACGTTTCGGAGGCAACACAAGTCTCCGTCATCAGGTGGGACCGTCACAGCCAGATTTGCTGTATCAAGTGAGCAAATGTGGCTGTGACGGTCCCACCTGATGACGGAGACTTGTGTTGCCTCCGAAACGTCGTGATTATTTTATTATTTTATTTTTTATTAATTTTAATTTCATTTTTTACCTACGTGACTTTACCGAAAAAACTAAGAGTATGAATCCTTGCAGTCACGAAAGCTTCATATCTAGAAAGAATATATGCAGCATCAGGGCATTCCATGCGCTCGTGATTGCGCATACCTTTCAACCCCTTATCGGTGCCTTACCTTATTACAGACCAATTCAGACCTTACTGGGTCACCCCGTGCCCCTTATAAACCCCAACGTTCATCCTACAAAATCCCATCACAAGGGAGAAACACAATTAGACAACGATTATGTTTTGCCCATATTGAAACGGTTGTACGCCGTATAGACCTGAAAACTCAATTCCCCTGTACAAGAATACGAGGTAAAACCATATGGGTTGACAGCGATGTGTGCCTAAGGCAAAGAACGTACGAGCACACGCCCACAACTATCGAGGCAATGTGGGGGGCCATTGAAAAGTTACCGGTGACAACCACACCCAAATTTTCATCACCGCCTCTCTCGATAAATTGAAGGGGAGATGGATCAGGGGTAGTGGTTGATGCCGCAGCTGCCGTGTCTACCCTTTGGCCTGAAGATCAGTTCTGTGGACTTTTCTTGATTGAGCGTTGGGGTTATTACAAGTGGCCCACTTCTGAATGTGGCCGATTCCTTCGGCAGTTGATGCATAATTAGATTCTGGAACAATTAAATAGGTGTGGATTGCGAATTTAACGAGTATATCTCCAATCTAGATTTGAAGTTTTCGTGACTGCAGGGATCCATACTCTTTGGTTATTTCGGTAAAGTCACGTAGTTATAAAATAAAATCAATGAAATCACGACGTTTCGGGCGCAACACAAGCGTCCGTCATCAGGTGGGACAACCACAGCAGGAAACAATTGCCCACTTCAGCAATTGTTTTTTGTTGTGGTTGTCCCACCTGATGAAACATCGTGATTTAATTTATTTTATTTTATACCTACGTGACTTTACCGAAAGAACCAAAGAGTATGGTACATTTCCAGTGGTAACCAATTTTAGGTCGACGGCAAAGATGATAAAGCTTGCAGGGCCAAGCTAGCAGCACTCCAGCAGCAGATATGCTAAACCCCCAACTGCTACGTGGTGCCATGTGGCTAGGCGATATGTTAACTACCTCGCATGGTGATACAGGTGGTCGTGGGTTAAATCCCGACCCTGACAATGCCTGTGTATTTGGAGTTTGTGGTGTCTCTCTCCCTGTGATCGCATGGATTTTTCTCCAGGTCGTCCGGGTTTTTTTCCCTCTACATTTAGAATCACCATCACGTGCTTAAGAGTATATGGCAGCCGTGTACCAACTTGCACCAGCAGTACACCTGAAGGTCCCCTGCAGCACCCCAGCAGTACACCAGAGATGCACAAAGCAGGGCACCAGCAGTACACAACTTGCACACGTGCAGTGCTCCAGCCAGGTCACCTTAACAGGGCACCACTAGCACAGCAGCAGTCCACGCAGCCGCAGTGCAGCCGGAGCGCTATCAGCGGTGCGCCAGCAGCAATCCAATGGGGCCCAAGCAATACACCGGCAGACAGAGGTCACAACCGGGTACCCGATACCCGTACCCTACCCGATACCCGGCTACCCGTTCCCGGCCGGGTACGGGTACCCGTTTGCGACCCTGGTGCGGCCGGGTACGGGTAGGCCGTGAGTCACTGGAGAGTAACTGTTTGTCACTCATTTCCCAACGTCTTGTCTCTTCTCACAATTCAAGTTCCTAGAATCAACCCACCCGCGCCTGCAACATGGCTTCGTCCCAGAGGTCACAATCGGGTACGGCCGAGTACGGGTACCCGTTTGCGACCCTGGTACGGCCGGGTACGGGGAAGGAATCAAAATCCGTTTGCGACCTCTGCCGGCAGAGCACCGACCGAATGTGTAGTGCAGTGACTTCGGAGACGATAATTATGGAGGCGCCTTCTTTTATGAACACGCACGATCTCGACTACACACACTCGTCACTCGCTAGCCTATGACACAACACGAGCCGTCAGGCATCGACGGCTCTAGCCGAGACAGTGGACAGACTATCCAGCAGCGCAATGTCGAGCGAGACGACACCAACGACGAGACGATCCAATCCCAAATCGGCAGCCTCGACCTCCCGGCCCCTTTAATGCTACCAGCGCGGCCTGGCTCCGCCCTGGCCACGCCTCCCTTCTCGAACCCACCAGCCGCTTCCAGGAGCTTCCAAATGGGCCCCTCCATGACCCTTGTCACAGTTCCTCCATTCTGCTGACACACACACCGTGTATACTGTCAACCCCACCCCACCCCTCCAGGAATTCCGAGTGGATCTCATATTGTGGCAGCATTGGAACGACAATCGACTCGAGTTCAAACCAAAACAAAATTTCACCACCATAGACCTGGACAACAGCATCAGCAAGTTCATCTGGATCCCCGACCTCAACTTTGTCAACGAGAAGAAGGCCCTCGTGCACGACACCGTTTCCCCCAACAGCATGCTGCGCATTTGGGAGAATGGAAATGTACTCTACTCCATGAGGTTGTTCCTCTATCCTACAGCTACAACTCAGAGCTATGAATGGCCTGATAGTGAAGGGTTTGTACCGTTTGCCTTTTGGCGTTCACTGGTCCGTCACTGGTGAGGCTTGGCCACGAAGGATGTCTCGGGTGTAGGCCAATCAGTTTCAAAAGAATATGCCAAATATTATCAGAGCATCTTTGGTTGCATGTTCACCACAATTATGTGTGGTTAATGCGGACTTGATTCCTTACAAATAAAAAAAGGTATCTATTTGGTAGTTTATTGCTAGAAAGGGTGAAACATTCTTTTTCAAGATTTTATTTCAGCATCTTTTTTTCCCCCCGGTCATCTAGAAAAACGAAACTATAATCTTCTATACCACTCACCCAGAACGAGGGCATTCACATACTAACAGCTTTTAACATTTCTAAAAATGTCCTCGCGGCGTTCAGTTCATGGCTCGGGGTACTTTGAATAAAATAATAATGAAACACTGGGCACTGGAACAAGTGTCCCGGACATGGCGATAACTAAACCCGCGAGAGGTAATGGTTTGCTGTAATACAATTGTCGAGGATATTCCATCCATTCTCACACACTCGCGCTGCACAAACAACACGCAAACCTTCCGCACCGACACACACGCACATGGGGAATACACCGAAGAAGAGTCGGAAATCAGGGGTCACCAACGCCACGCACATACGCGGCACGCTTGGGTAAGGAATAGAGATTGTGGGTGCGAATACTGACGTGCACGACACGCAAGCCGATTGGCGAGTGGATGACCGATCAGATTGATGTGGAGAAACGGATCGTAGAAAGAGTGGGAAATTAGAGAAAGGCAATTGGTGGAGAAGGGCAGAGAAGTTTAAGAGAAGGGACTGTGAAAAGGGAACGAGGTTGGTTTGATGACGAGGTGTTGCTGGGGTGTTCGAGCGGTGACAACAAAAGAAAGTTGAAGTACACCAGTCCAAGTCTCCTCTTCACAAATGAAGGTCACTATGAGATCTCTTTTACCAGTGGCAAAATATAGTAGTAGGTTTTTACCCTTTTAAACTGGTACAAAACTGACACCTTTATACAAGGCATCATGTTTGCAATAACCACAACACAAGTAGTCAAAAATGCAAACAAAAAGAAGCAACTCTGATAATGATAATAATATGCACTGTCCTTGAAGTTGATTAGTCCACACCCGAGACGGCTTTCTTTAGAGCCTAGTCCCCATTGGTGTTGGACCAGATGACACCAGAAGGCGTACAACTCAATGGGGACTAGGCTCTAAAGAAAGCCGTCTCGGGTGTGGACCAATCAACTTCAAGGACAGTGCAAATTATTATCATTATCAGAGTTGCTTCTTTTAGTTTGCATTTTTGACTACTTGTGTTGTGGTTATTGCAAACATGATGCCTTGTATAAAGGTGTCAGTTTTGTACCAGTTTAAAAGGGTAAATGAAGGTCAATTACGAAGATCTGAACCCTGAGGAGGATTTGTATCATTCTGTTCATCCAGGATATCACTGACCCTCAGCTGCCCCATGAACCTGCACGATTTCCCGATGGACACGCAGGTGTGCCCTCTCTACATCTCCAGCGGTGAGTTCAATAACGATCATTGGCGCAGCATGCTATCGGGTGAGCTACTTGGTGTGCGATTGGGCGATGTATTTGTAATGCGAGCAAGGATTGAGGGGGGGCGGAGTCTGGGTCACGTGGGGAGTGGGTGGAGTTAGGGTCACGTGGGAGAGAGGATTTAGGGGGAGAACCGGAAGGGGAAAAGGGGGTGGAGACGGAGTGAAACAGGAGGAGGCCACGCTGGGCAGGACGGAGAGAGTGGCGAGGTCGCCACGCGGTGGAAGACGTCGACACCGTCAGCCATCGGTGTCAGACGCAGAGAGCTAGCAGCTGTGGGAGGCTAGTTGTATACGGGGCAGCAGTGAAGCTAGAGAGCGGAGCAGCGTTGTGGCTGCAAGGTGGAGCAGCAGGGAGACTGCATATTGGAGCAGCAGGGAGACTGCATATCGGAGCAGCAGGGAGACTGCCTAACGGAGCAGCAGGGAGACTGCCTAACGGAGCAGCAGGGAGACTGCATATCGGAGCAGTCGAGTGGCTGTGGAGAGATCGTCGGGAGGGACGCGGGCCTGAGTGAGGACGCCGTGGTAACGAGATTCAACGAACCCAATAAAGGACAACGGAGATCGACATCTGAGAGAGAGTCCTTTATTACATATTGGGTGATCTACCTGGTGTGCTATTGGGTGATCTAACGGATAAGCTATCGATGTGCGCTATCATGTGCACTACAAGTGTCGTCTTGACTTGAAGTTTTCGTGACTGCAGGGATCCATACTCTTTGGTTCTTTCGGTAAAGTCACGTAGCTATAAAATAAAATAAATTAAATCACAGTGAATTTATTTTATTTTATAGCGACGTACGTGACTTTACCGAAAGAACCAAAGAGTATGTCGTCTTGACATTCAGAAATTTCCATTTGGAGGATATCACACGTTTATAAAAACTCAATTTGGTCATAACATCTTCACTTACTAGAAGTGGTAGTTACCCACACGTTACCATGCCACACGCAGAGTGCCGTTGGAGAGTGGGGGTTGTGGGGGTAGAGAGTTTGAGCAGCTTGTACTGTTGTGTCAACTGCCGCACTGGGAGACTGAACGGAACCGACGACCCATGCATGTGATCCGTGTCCTCCCTGCGCTCTGTCCTGAAGGTGCATACACACAGAAGGACCTGGTGTTCATGTGGGATGAGGATAGGCCGATGGTGCACGATCCCTCCATCAGCCTGCCCCAGTACAGCTTCACGAACGTCACCTTGTCGCACTCCGAGCGGCATCTCCGGACAGGTCAGCGCCTATCACGTGCAGAGTTAAGCCCTTGGCTCTGGATTGTCTATCACTAATCTCATAGGTTTCTAATGGCCAAGCCAAAGACACTGGGACATCACTGCTGATATTCAGGGGGTCAAGCCCTGGGTTGGTTTAAAAAAGCACCATTTCAACCACACTAGGCCCGCAATGCAGAGATGCTAGGTTCAAGCTCTCGTTCTGTCTCGTTAACCATTGTCATTCTATCAAGGCCCAATGAGCTATATAAGTTTCGATTTAAAGCTTTCGTGACTGCAGGGATTCATCTTCTTGGTTCTTTCGGTAAAGTCACGTAGAAGGGAAATAATAAAATAATAAAATTTAAACATAATAAAATACAATTCTCACGACGTTTCGGCCACAACGCAAGCAGCCGTCCTCAGGTGAAGAACAGGTCTGTCGGAAAGACGCTGTTTTATTTTTATTATTTTATTGTTTCCCTTTTACGTGACTTCACCGAAAGAACCAAGAAGGAGCTATGTAAGCTTTTGTTTTTTCACAAGCGGCCTGGCCACAAATGGTAGCTCAACGAAGTGGCTTATCGCGTGGACATTTATAGCGGCCATATACTCTAAAACGCATGTTGCTTCTAAAATGTGGAGAGAAAAGCCACAGGACCCAGAGAAAACTCCATGCAACCATGGGGAGAGGCATGCAAACTCCAAATATGTAGGCGTCAGGGTCAGGATTGAACCCCTGCCCTCCTGTATACCAAATGAGGTAGTGAACCTCATCTCGCAACTGTGGCGCCCCAGTGGGTTCATCATGGCCATGTCAAAGAGCTTAGGCCAGTACTACCCTGCCCGGGGTCTTCATGTCTCTGGAAGGAGGATCACAATAGCCGTGTCTTAGTCACTAATTATAAGTTGCGAGCGGCAAATAAAATATAATACAAATTACAAGAGCAGTGCAAGGGCCCAAGAGTGAGTGGCTGTAAAAGAGGGCCACATGGGATCACACATTTTCTATAGGGGAGGGACGGGATGGAGTGGAGGGGCGAAGGGAATCGGGAATAAAGAAGAGGCGATAAAGAGGGGGACGTAGGGAGGTTGAGGGGGATTTCTTAAATGTACTGGTGCAGTGTTGAGTCTATGGTGCAATAATTCCAGTGGTCGGGGTGCATCTGCTTCTTTCTGCTGGGGGGACCACAGGAAACTTCTCAATGCTGAAGGCGAACTTCACGCTGCGCCGTCTCATGGGCTTCTACCTCACGCAGACGTACATCCCCAGTACCCTGCTGGTCCTCCTCTCCTGGATCTCCTTCTGGATCAACCCTGACGCGGCGCCGGCCCGTGTCGCCCTGGGCATCACCACCGTCCTCACCCTCACCACCCAGAGCAGCGGGGCACGGTCCTCGCTGCCCAAGGTGAACTGAGGGACGGCGGTAGTGCAGTGGTTGGCACTGGTTAATGCGCCGTGCTACGAACCTGGTGACCCAAGCGGCACACGTAAATGTAATGACAATGTATAAACATGCGCGATGTTGCTCCTCTTTGAGGAGGAGGCCGCAACGTGGACAGAGCTACCACGTCAACAGTACGTCGGAGGCAGCACTGAGGCGCCTGTAGTGGCGGCGATGCAACGGTAGGGGTCGCCACTTGCCCAGCATGGAGGCAGTCGAAATTCCGGATCCACGGACGGTCGGGCCGCACCCGATTTCGCCCAGGGACGTCGACAACACCCCAGGCCAGCGGTGGGTGCTGGCAGTGCACGGGCTGCACGCCGGCAGGCAGTGAGAAGCATCCGGGCAGCCAGAGTGATCTTGACTCAAAGTCCCGGAGGCCGAGGTCAGCCACTCAGTGCGGCCAAGAAGATAATAAAATAAAGTGAATAGAATATGAAAGCGAAGTAGCTAAAGACAGTGGCTAAGGGCATACAGAAGATAAAGAGAATGGACTGAATAACTAAGCTCGATGGGAAGGAGGAGACGTGACGCTGGAGATGTCGTACGGCAGCCAGCTCGCGCGGCGCCATTTTGTTCCTTACTTTACATAATAACTAGAACACGTGGCCGGCGCCAGGAACCCACGAGGTTGGCGCCAGCAAATCCACCACCAGCCAGCCTGGGTTCATTCCATGCCACTGGATTTTGGTGAGCGAGCAGATGAATAAATCCATGCGCATGCATCTACGATGATGATGCTCATGATGATGATGACGATGAAAACGTGCATAAACTACCAGCTTTTCTGATGCCAATTGGCAGGTCGTTATGCCGATGACAACGCAGCAGGGGCACCACCAAATACAATCGGTCGGATCAATTAACCCGACGCCCGCCCACCACTGTCTTGCAGTTGTCGTACGTCAACGCGATGGACATCTGGATGGCTACGTGCCTCATCTTCGTCTTCTCGTCTTTGCTCGAGTTCGCTGCGGTCAACGTGATGTCCAGACAAGCCAGGAGCCTCTCGTCCGCCAATCGGAGCAGTGGCAAGGTTGAGGTATTGAGGAAACATATTACTAATCAATTATATAATTACAATAACTCCCCCGTCCACCGCCGCTGATTTCTGTACCTGATGGGTTCAGTGATGACGTCATCTTGCTCTATTTAAGACCGGAAGCAGGTGAATGGCTTCGTTATTCTGGCAAATCGCCCGATGATGCTGGATGTAATTACCAGCGAAACGGCGTAGTAAAATTGTAAATGTTGTGGATTTACTCTCCCACACACCAGTGGGTTGAAGTAGTAACGAATTGGCGCGTTTTGTTTACGTGACAAATCCCTGATTGCTAATTGGCCGTGTCGGGTGGTGGAGGGTCCAGACACATTTATACTTGCGCGATCTAACCCGGAAACCTTGATTATGGACACCACACGGTGCCCACGTCCACACATCTCCTCTCTCTCGGCCTTCTCCATCTCCCATTCGGGGTGGCGAGACACACGGCTCAGCCGTGGTGCGTTCTCCACTTCAAGACGTTTGTGGTTCCATCTGATGAGCCATGAGGCGCTTTGTCACGAATGTCCAGCAGCGGATGGAGTATGCAGCCTTCTTGTTTGATGATTGCGTGCCGTAGGGAAATTTCGTTCTACGCGGAAATCCGATTTCGTTCATCGAAAAGTGTCCACAATTTGTCAATTGAGTGAACGCGAAATTTCCTCCAGCAAACGTTCGTAAAATCGAGGGATTCTCAACGTGGTATGATACACGTCGCAGTGTTAACCAGGGTGGCTGGCCGGTTTCAAACTGGCCACCATCCCACTGGTGTGACACACTGCCGGCCTTCGTAGGTGCTGCTGCTGCTGCATACTCGCGAACAGAACCTTCCCCGACGGTATGTGGAGGCTACATGGGGGATCTTCTTGGTTCTTTCGGTAAAGTAACGTACAAGGAAATAATAAAATAATACAAATAAAACATAATAAAATATTATTGTTTTATTTTTATTATTTGGTTCACGTAGAAGGGAAATAAGAAGGGAAATAATAAAATAATAAAATAAAACATTTTTTATATTATTAAATATTATTATGTTTTAAATAAGAAGGGAAATAATAAAATAATAAAAGTAAAACATAATAAAATATTATTTAATATTATCATGTTTTATTGTTATTATTTTATTATTTCCCTTCTACGTGAACCAAGAAGATCCCCCATGTAGCCTCCACATACCGTCGGGGAAGGTTCTAATAAAATATTATTATGTTTGATTTTTATTATTTTATTATTTCCCTTCTACGTGACTTTACCGAAAGAACCAAGAAGATGAATCCCTGCAGTCACGAAAGCTTTAAATCGATACATGGGGGATGTTTGCCTTTGTGTGCGTGCGTGCGCAGGCAGCGACGGGGATCCTGTCTGCGATGCACCCGTGGAGTGCGGAGCGAATCGACCGCACTGCTCGGGTGCTCTTCCCCACGCTCTTCCTCCTCTTCAACGTCTTCTACTGGCTCACCTTCTGCGTCTTCAAGTGAAGGCCTCGGCTCTAGAGCCACCCTGGAGCACGGCATCTCTCTTCTTGGCGTCCATCGCTGCTGGGCCGATGCATACCTCATCCGTGCTCTTCGCCACAACACCCTACTCTCTCATCTTCGCTCTCTCTCTCTCGTCTCTCACTACTGGGTGCCGCGGTGGCGAGGAGATGTTCAATACCTGACCAAAAGGCCATAGCCATGGAGTCAACATTGGGGGGGACCAAATCTTCCAGGGGGTGTAGGCCCCCCCCAGAAAAAAATCTCATTTTGAAAACGAATTTTTTGCCATTTCCTGCCTAAAATATAAAAAAATTCACTAACACATAGGATGGATTTTTTTTTTATAATGTCTAATAGTGTATTGTATTACATTGCTCTGTTTTGTTCTTTTTTACCTTTTATTGTGTCATTGTATGTAATGGCAGAGATTAGGGATTAACAAAGCACAACCATAACCGCAATCATATAAACAGAAATCTATTTTATAGCAATATATTGGGGGGGACATTTTGAGCATATTTGAATATTGGGGGGGGGGGGGGATGTGCCCCCCCCCCCATATTTATTATAATTACGTCCTTGCCTGACCTGTGTTGTATATGCTGGGTCTTGAAAAATTAATAAAAAAATTATACAAAATAAATGAAAATGGAAAAATGCTTAAATATCCGCAATTATGCCAATTCATGTAATTATGCACAATTTATGCTAATTAGGGAGGTAATCATATTAAGCTATGCAAATGCATGCGCTTATGCTAATGTGTGCAGTTATGATCATTATGCTTTGCTTCGTTGTCTCGGACTGTCTTATCAATCGGAATGATACAATGAGTTGTATGAAGTTATACAAGTGTGATGTAATTATGCTAAATTAAGCTTGGCTTCGTTGTCTTGGGTTGTATTATAATCAATCGGGATAATCCAATGATTCTTGCTTTAACATTTACTGATTATGTCTTAGTGTGTTTATGTCAGGTCTCCAAATTCACATCTCACCGCAGGATACAGTTCTTATAATTAAGATTATTAAGCATAAACTTAGGAAGGCACCACTCAGACACTTCTGTGTTAAGCAACTTTAATTTCTAAGCAAAAACATAACACTCTAATATGCGAACTCTTATGCTTGGAATTGTCAACACAGTACTCCTGGAGATGTTCTCATTGATCCGTACATTTAACCCTAAATGATTACGTTGTCAAACTGGGTAATCAGAACAATCAATTAATTCCTCGGAGTAACGCGAGCATATACGGCGATAGGAAAACGTCCTTAAACATGCAAGCGACGATATTCATACAAACGGCAATAAAGAAACATATCCCCAAGGCAAAGTATGCGTCAATGAATTCATCGGTAAGATTATGCATTTAACGAATTGTCTTGGAACAATAGTGTGTAAATAATAAATCACGACGTTTCGATCGCAACACAAGCAATCGTCTGTTGCGATCTAAACGTCGTGATTCATTATTTTTCTATCTACGTGACTTTACCGAAAGACGCAAAGAGCATGAATGAATGCGTGAATGAAAATGCAATCAACAAGACCAAACGCGATCGAGCAAATAAAAAACAAATCCACGGACGCAAGTCCCAAGATCTCACAAGTTTTCGTTCGCTGAGCTAAGGACCAGCAGCGTATCCAAAGGGGTTCTCTGTGCGTCTGTTGAGCTCGTTTCGCACCGTACGCACGTGTGAATGAGAACACAGAATGTGTCTCGTAGTCTTTGGGTCTTTCAGTAAAGTCACGTAGATAGAAAAAAGAATAACAATAAAAAAGTAAAAATGAATTTAAAGTGAATAAAAAAAGTAATAAAATTGTCACGACGTTTCGATCGCAACACAAGCAATCATCATCAGGAGACGATTGCTTGTGTTGCGATTGAACCGTCGTGATATTTTTTTCATTCACTTTATTTTAATTTGTATTCTTTTATTGATATTATTTTTTCTGCTATCTACAGTCACTTTACCGAGAGACCCAAAGAATATGAATTCCTGCAGTCACGAAAGCTTTAAGTCAAGACTTCGTTAGTAGTACAGTAGACTCTCGATTTTCTGTGCGAATGATGGGGTGTTGGCTGTGTCGGGTGGTGGCAGGTTTAACGACACATTTATATATTTACGTGCTCTAACCAAAAAAAACCTGCATTGTGGATTATATTTGTCGCAATAGCCTACTACGTGTTAAACTACTTCCTGCCCTCGTTCTTAAAACCGTAACCATCCTCTCCCTTCCCCTTCCTCACCTCGCCCCTCCCTCTGCCTGGCATCACCCTTCCACCCCTCCCCAACACTCAAATCCCCTCCCTATCCCCATCAGCCAATAACTAATGAACCACTTTTAAAGCGCTTTGACAAAAAAGAAAAGCGCCGTATAAAATCCTGGATAAGGTAATTCTCTTTACTCTTGATTAGAAGTCACATAATGTATCATTCACATTGCACGGTCGGGGCTGTGGCACAGTCTGCCTGCGGAATGCACAAGAACGAGGCTCATAGACACGCCATGGTCGAGAAATGAAAAATTAAAGGTGCCGATTAAATTCGTTTCCCTGCCGCCTTGAGTATCGACGCCCCCAGTTGGTGCCGGATTGCTCCGGATCAGACTTGTGGCCCTGCTCGCAATATGCCCGCATGCCCCATCCACACACACAGCACGTGCCTCCATGCGCGTGACGAGGTGTGACAACACAAAGACAAAGGTCCCCCCCGCCCCCGTGTAGCCTCTAACAGGCTGTCGGAGCAAGTGCTGTTAGTGGTGAGTAGCAGCAGCGCCTATGAAAATAGACACAAAGGTCCCCCGTGTAGCCTCTAGCAGGCTGTTGGGGCAAGTGCTGTTAGTGGTGAGTAGCAGCAGCGCCTATGAAAATATACACAAAGGTCCCCCGTGTAGCCTCTAGCAGGCTGTTGGGGCAAGTGCTGTTAGTAGCGAGTAGCAGCAGCAGCAGCGCCTATGAAGGAAGACATAGGCAAAGGTCCCCCGAGTAGCCTCTAACAGGCTGTTGGGGCAAGTGCTGTTAGTGGTGAGTAGCAGCAGCGCCTATGTAAGTAGACACAGACAAAGGTCCCCCGTGTAGCCTCTAGCAGGCTGTTTGGGGCAAGTGCTGTTAGCAGCGAGTAGCAGCAGTGCCTGTTAAGCTAGACACAGGCAAAGGTCCCCCGTATAGCCTCTAACAGGCTGTTGAGGCAAGTGCTGTTAGTAGTGAGTAGCAACAGCGCCTTTGAAGATAGACACAAAGTTCTCCCGTGTAGCCTCTAGCAGGATGTGGAGGCAAGTGCTGTTAGTAGTGAGTAGCAGCAGCGCATTTGAAGGTAGAAACAAAGGTCCCCGGTGTAGCCTCTAGCAGGCTGTAGAGGCAAGTGCTGTTAGCGAGCACCTATGGAGGCTACCGACACTGTGGCACACGATGGGCTGGGTGGCCAGCATCACGCCCGCCCGACCGCCTTTGTCTCCCCCAGTGGCGATGTTCATTATACACCGCTACACCAGGTACTCGTTTTAGGCTGAGTCGATGCAGAGGAGTCCCAGGACCGGTTCAAATAATTGCCACTGATGTTGGCCTTGAGCGGGCATTGAACCCGGATGGCCGGGTTTGGAGCGCGGGCGCTAACCACGACACTGCCGCTCCACACACACGGGGTTTGGTTCGATCCCTGGATCTGGGTGTCTCTCTCAGTCTCAGTCGAGGTGAGGTTCATAATGGCCGTGTCAGACACCCCGAGAAGCCGGGTTCGAGCCCTGGGTCTGGGTGTCTCTCTCAGTCTCAGTCGAGGTGAGGTTCATAATGGCCGTGTCAGACACCCCGAGAAGCCGGGTTCGAGCCCTGGGTCTGGGTGTCTCTCTCAGTATCAGGTGAGGGATGAGGTTCATAATGGCCGTGTCAGACACCCCGAGAAGTCGGGTTTGAGCCCTGGGTCTGGGTGTCTCTCTCAGTATCAGGTGAGGGGTGAGGTTCGTAATGGCCGTGTCAGACACCCCAAGAAGCCGGGTTCGAGCCCTGGGTCCGGGTGTCTCTCTCAGTATCAGGTGAGGGGTGAGGTTCGCAATGGCCGTGTCAGACATCCCGAGAAGCCGGGTTCGAGCCCTGGGTGTGGGTGTCTTTCTCAGTCTCAGGCGAGGTGAGGTTCATAATGGCCGTGTCAGACACCCCGAGAAGTCGGGTTCGAGCCCTGGGTCTGGGTGTCTCTCTCAGTCTCAGGCGAGGGGTGAGGTTCATAATGGCCGTGTCAGACACCCCGAGAAGTCGGGTTCGAGCCCTGGGTCTGGGTGTCTCTCTCAGTCTCAGGCGAGGTGAGGTTCATAATGGCCGTGTCAGACACCCCGAGAAGTCGGGTTCGAGCCCTGGGTCTGGGTGTCTCTCTCAGTCTCAGGCGAGGTGAGGTTCATAATGGCCGTGTCAGACACCCCGAGAAGTCGGGTTCGAGCCCTGGGTCTGGGTGTCTCTCTCAGTCTCAGGCGAGGTGAGGTTCATAATGGCCGTGTCAGACACCCCGAGAAGCCGGGTTCGAGCCCTGGGTCTGGATGCCTCTCTGAGTATCAGGCGAGGTGAGGTTCGTAATGGCCGTGTCAGACACCCCGATAAGCCGGGTTCGAGCCCTGGGTCTGGGTGTCTCTCTCAGTATCAGGTGAGGGGTGAGGTTCGTAATGGCCGTGTCAGACACCCCAAGAAGCCGGGTTCGAGCCCTGGGTCGGGGTGTCTCTCTCAGTCACAGGCGAGGGGTGAGGTTCATAATGGCCGTGTCAGACACCCCGAGAAGCCGGGTTCGAGCCCTGGGTCTGGGTGTCTCTCTCAGTCACAGGCGAGGGGTGAGGTTCATAATGGCAGTGTCAGACACCCCGAGAAGCCGGGTTCGAGCCCTGGGTCTGGGTGTCTCTCTCAGTCTCAGGCGAGGGGTGAGGTTCATAATGGCCGTGTCAGACACCCCGAGAAGCCGGGTTCGAGCCCTGGGTCTGGGTGTCTCTCTCAGTCACAGGCGAGGTGAGGTTCATAATGGCCGTGTCAGACACCCCCAGAAGTCGGGTTCGAGCCCTGGGTCCGGGTGTCTCTCTCAGTCTCAGGTGAGGGGTGAGGTTCGTAATGGCCGTGTCAGACACCCCCAGAAGTCGGGTTCGAGCCCTGGGTCTGGGTGTCTCTCTCAGTCACAGGCGAGGGGTGAGGTTCGTAATGGCCGTGTCAGACACCCCGAGAAGCCGGGTTCGAGCCCTGGGTCTGGGTGTCTCTCTCAGTCTCAGGCGAGGGGTGAGGTTCGTAATGGCCGTGTCAGACACCCCGAGAAGCCAGGTTCGAGCCCTGGGTCTGGGTGTCTCTCTCAGTCTCAGGCGAGGGATGAGGTTCGCAACGGGCGCGTTGAGCTGCGCTGCTGAGTCAGCAACGGTGACAATCCTGGGCTGCAGCCACGCGTCTGGCTGGGTGTCGAGTCCGCTGACTCATCAAGTGTCAGATGTCACGGTACCCCTCTCGCTGGCTCAGGCAGTCGCTGTGGCCTCGTCAGAGCGTCGAGCCGGTGACACCGTGACAGGTGACACGTGACAATGTGACACGTGACAATGTGACACGTGATAGGTGACACGTGACACTGTGACACGTGACACTGTGACACTGTGACAGGTGACACGTGACACTGTGACAATGTGACACTGTGACACTGTGACAGGTGACACGTGACACTGTGACACTGTGACACGTGACAACGTGACACTGTGACGCTGTGTCCCTGTCGCCTGCTGTTGTATATTTGGAGTTTGTGTGTTTCTCTCTCTCCGTGGTTCTGTCGATTTTTCTCCGAGTCCTCCAATTTTTTCCTCCAATTTTGAGGCAACACGTTGGTTTATTGTCTTTACTACAATGTCCCTACCATGAAGGGTATATCGGTCCCTTCAGCCGATACCTAGGGAGCTATGGCCTCCGAACTATACGGGACCTAACACTACTAACCCGTTCCCTATCGTCCTCCGGCTGGGACCTAGGGGAGGCTGACTGACCCAGACCTCCTGGTCCGTGGGTCCTGACCCCTGACCTCACTGAGCTCCGGCCCTTAGAAGGACCGCGGAGCTTGGGGTCCAGGGTCCTTATTCATATTCTTAGGTTTTTTCGGTAAAGTCACGTAGGTAAATTTTTAAAAATTAAAATGAATAAAAGTAAAATAAAAAATAAAATAAAAATCACGACGTTTCGGAGGCAACACAAGCTTCCGTCTTCAGGTGGAACCGTCACAGCACGATAGCTTGTTATTGTGCTGTAACGGTTCCACCTGAAGACGGAAGCTTGTGTTGCCTCCGAAACGTCGTGATTTTAATTTTATTTTTTATTTTACTTTTATAAATTTTAATTTTTTTTTTACCTACGTGACTTTACCGAAAAAACCTAAGAATATGAATCCTTGCAGTCTAAAGCTTCAAATCTATAATTAAGTCCAGGGTCCTATTCTCCAGCCCGGTCTTCAGTCTGCAGATAACTGAGCCAGAGTTCTTAGTGCTCTGGCTTATATACCCGTTCGTGGCTTGCTCCGCCTTAGCCACGCCCTCCTTCTGGAACACTCTGGGTCATCCTGGAAGGTGACATCATTCTTCCAGTTGCCCCCCATCCGGGGGCCCTGGGAATGTGTCCCAGGATCCGTCGACTGGGATCTGCCGTTAGTCCCTTTCTGGCCCATGGACATTTGCCCTGGCGAGATAAGGCCTCTGCCCCCTATTGACAATAAGTGGGTAAAGTCACGTAGAAGGGAAATAATAAAATAATAAAAATATAACATAATGAAATAATATTATATAATAATATTATATTATAATTATTTTCTTATTTCCCTTCTACGTGACTTTACCGAAAGAATCAAGAAGATGGATCCCTGCAGTCACAAAAGCTTTAAATCGAAAAATAAGTGGGTACTACAGGCCTGCTGAATGGTGAGTGACAATCACCCATACACACCTGGTAACGATACAACTGAGTTGATTGGGTAGTTTATAGGATAAACCACGGCTGCTGCTGCTGCTACTGATGATGACTATGAGAAGAGTTGTCACGATCGCCAGGCATGTGTCTGTCTGTGTGCGTCTTGGTGAGAAGAACCACGCGGATCACCCCCCCCCTCCCCACGTGGCTGGGGAGATCTTTCAAGGCACCCCCTGCCCCCTCCTCCATCCCCCTCCTCCCTACTCCGCCCCTCCACCACCCCCTCTTCCACCCTCCCCCTCCCTCCCCCCTCCTCCCTCCTCCACCCTCTTTCCCCCCCTCCGCCTTCTCCTTCACCCCCCCTCCTCCACTCCCTCCCCTCTCCTCTCCCCTCGTCCACCCCCTCTCCCTCCTCCACCCCTCCTCCACCCTCCCCCCTCTTCCACCCCCTTCCCCCCTCCTCCACCCCCTTTCCCCCCACTACGCCTTCTCCTCCACCCCTCCCCCCTCCTCCACCCCCCCTCCTCCACCCCCTCCCCTCTCCCCTCCTCCACCCCCTTACCCCCTCCTCCGCCCCCTCCTCCACCCCCTCCCGCGTAATGATCACTGGTCACAGAGAGGCGACTCACAGAGTGGCGACTCACAGAGAGGCGACTCACAGAGTGGCGACTCACAGAGAGGCGACTCACCATGCCTCGCGGGGGCCTGCTCTGCACGTGGCTTCTACACGGTATGCTGCTCACCAGGTGAGCGAGTCAGTGTGTGTGTGTGTCAGTGTGTGTGTGTGTGTCAGTGTGTGTGTGTGTCAGTGTGTGTTAGTGTGTGTGTGCGAAACGTGGACCCCCCGAATGGAGCATCTTCGCCGGTTAGAAACATTTAGGCTGGCCTGCTTACGATCCATCCTGGGTTTAACCAGGCTGGATTGTGTGAGGAGCTCACAAATCCTTGAAAGATCTGGGCAAAGTCCCATCAGTGAGCTCCTCCGGCAGGCAAGGCTGCGTTGGCTGGGTCATGTAGCCCGCATGCCCAGCCACCGCATGCCCAAACAGCTTCTGTTCGGCCGGATCGAGGGGGCTAAACGGGTGTGGTACGGGCTAGAGAAGAGATGGAGTGATGTGGTACAGGAGGACGTGGAGCTGAGTGGACTTGCCGATGACCGGTACCAGCGGTGTCAAGATCGGCCTCTGTGGAGGAGGCTCGTGAAGGACGCTACTGGGCAGTTGGAGGCAGTCGCCCTCCAGCAACAACGGACGGCGGAGGAGCGACGCTCACATCAACGAGCGGAGTGCCGGGTGGCTAAAGCACAGCAAGTTGGCACAGTAGGGGGCACAGGTGGTGCATCAGCCAGTCATCTCGGTCATCTCAGTCAGTCGACCCGTGGCACCTGGGTCTGCCCCGTGACCCCTCCTGCCAGCGGGCGTTCGACACTTCACGTGGCCTCAAGGTGCACATAGCCTGGCACAAGCGTCGTGGTGACGTCACCGCCACTTAGTGGTCAGTGTGTGTGTCAGTGTGTGTGAGTGTCAGTGTTTGTCAGTGTGTGTGTGTCAGTGTGTGTCAGTGTGTGTGTGAGTGTGTGTCAGTGTGTCTGTTCGTGTGTCAGTGGGGAGCGGTAGTTGTAGCGGTTAGCGCTACGCTGCGCTACGAACCTGGCCACCCGAGTTCGATTCCCACATCAGTGACAATTATCTAACCCGGTACTGGGCCCTCACCTCGACTCAGCCTCAAATGAGTAGTTGGTGTAGCGGTGTGTAGTAAACATTTCCACTCGGGAGACAAATGCGGCCGGGCGTGGTGCTGGCCACCCACCCCCTCTGTGTGCCACAGTGCCGGTAGCCTTCATAGGTGCTGGATTCCAGCAGGGTTATCAAGAAGGGCCCATTGCCACACACACACAGCGGATGCTGTGGTGACAAGGGAGATGTTGACTACCTCGCCTGGTATACAGGAGGTCGTGGGTTCGATCCCGACCTTGATGACGCCTGCTGCTGTATATTTGGAGTTTGCGTCTCTCTCTCTCTCATCACGACGGTGGCTATGAGATGTTAACTACCTCGCCTGGTATACAGGACGTCGTGGGTTCGATCCCGACCTTGATGACGCCTGCTGCTGTATATTTGGAGTTAGCGTCTCTCTCTCTCTCTCCCCATGGTGGTCGAGTGGATTTTTCTCCAGGTCCTCCGTTTTTGTTCTCCTCCACATGTAGAATCAACGTCACGAGTATTTAGCCACTTGCTGTACATTTCCCCACGATGATGATGATGATGATAAAAGCCACGCCTTTGAGCTGCTATCATTGTGCGATGGCCAGGTCTGATTTGGAAAAGATCCCTACGGCTCAGTGGGGCAAACAAATATACACAGTGGGGCTTTTCGTTTTCCTTCAACAACGAAGCCAAACATTACGTGGAAATTGAGCCAAGCATCGCAATGCAGGATTATCTTGTTTATGCCAAAAAGTATGAAGGGTGTCCTGGACTTTAGTAAATGGCGTTCGGCACTCTTATCGTCATCTCATCATCGTCTTCGCCATCCTCGTCATTTAATACTCACAGATATTTTAAGACCACGTCAACGTACGTGTCTATGAAAAAACAAGAATATTTTCACCCTTATCTTCCTCTGTGCGGTTCCTCTTGTCCAACACTGGTTGAGACTCGGCCCTCAAGAAGGCTGTCTCTGGTGTAGGCCAATCAGTTTGGGACCGTCCATAAATGACGTCACGCGATTTTGGACGATTTTTGACCCCCGCCCCCCCTCGTCACACGGCGTCACAAAAGTCAGACCCCCCCCCTCAAATATGACGTCACAAAGCTCTGCCCCCACCCCCAAAACCATATTTCCATTCTGAAAATAAAACATGCTTCAAATCGCTTTAAACTATTGTCATTGTAGTGCGTATTTAATGTGGCGCTGCACTCTGATGTTGTAGGAGTGTTGTTATATCAATCAGTGTTGTTATAACAATTCTATATTTATTGAAAGTTGCGAATTTTGATGTGACGTCACATTTCTCAATCCCCCCCACCCTCGTCACACATCGTCACAAATGTCTGACCCCCCCACCACCCCAGGTGCGTGACGTCATTTATGGACGGCCCCTTTAAAAAACCAATGCCCATATATATATTACCAGGGCAATGTTTGTTTGCATATTCAAGACAAGTCCCGTGTCTGGTTAATGCAGAAACTTGATTCCATGCAAAAGGTTTAATCTATTTGGAGTTTGAACATCTTAACACAGCCCCTGCTGTTTTACTGTCAGTGGGCTTTGCCTGGTAGGGTGGCGATGGTTTAGTTGCATTTGTCAGTGTTTGGGTGATTTGTTTGCCTTTATCGTACTTTGCACTGCTATCGTGTTTTGTGTCTGGGGCTGGGAATCTCAGAACAGAAGAGAGGCTGGGAGATTGTCTGGAACTGGGAATATCAGAAGAGGAAAGAGGCTGGGAGATTGTCTGGAACTGGGAATCTCAGAGGGGGAGAGAGGCTGTGAGATTGTCTGGAACTGGGAATCTCAGAAGGGGAGAGGCTGGGAGATTATCTGGAACTGGGAATATCAGAAGAGGAAAGAGGCTGGGAGATTGTCTGGAGCTGAGAATATCAGAAGGGGAGAGGCTGGGAGATTGTCTGGAGCTGGGAATCTCAGAAGGGGAGAGAGGCTGGGAGATTGTCTGGAACTGGGAATATCAGAAGGGAAGAGGCTGGGAGATTGTCTGGAGCTGAGAATCTCGGAAGGGGAGAGGCTGGGAGATTGTCTGGAGCTGGGAATATCAGAAGGGGAGAGGCTGGGAGATTGTCTGGAACTGGGAATATCAGAAGGGGAGAGGCTGGGAGATTGTCTGGAGCTGGGAATCTCAGAAGGGGAGAGAGGCTGGGAGATTGTCTGGAGCTGGGAATCTCAGAGGGGGAGAGGCTGGGAGATTGTCGGGAACTGGGAATATCAGAATGGGATTGGCAGGGAGATTGTCTGGAACTGGGAATCTCAGAAGGGGAGAGAGGCTGGGAGATTGTCTGGAACTGGGAATCTCAGAAGGGGATTGGCTGTGAGATTGTCTGGAGCTGGGAATCTCAGAAGGGGATTGGCAGGGAGATTATCTGGAGCTGGGAATCTCAGAAGGGGAGAGGCTAGGAGATTGTCTGGAGCTGGGAATCTCAGAAGGGGAGAGAGGCTGGGAGATTGTCTGGAACTGGGAATATCAGAAGGGGAGAGGCTGGGAGATTGTCTGGAACTGGGAATCTCGGAAGGGGAGAAGCTGGGAGATTGTCTGGAGCTGGGAATCTCAGAAGGAGAGAGGCTGGGAGATTGTCTGGAACTGGGAATATCAGAAGGGGAGAGGCTGGGAGATTGTCTGGAACTGGGAATCTCGGAAGGGGAGAAGCTGGGAGATTGTCTGGAGCTGGGAATCTCAGAAGGAGAGAGGCTGGGAGATTATCTGGAACTGGGAATATCAGAAGAGGAAAGAGGCTGGGAGATTTCTGGAACTTGGAATCTCAGAGGGGGAGAGGCTGGGAGATTGTCTGGAACTGGGAATATCAGAAGGGGAGAGGCTGGGAGATTGTCTGGAACTGGGAATATCAGAAGGGGAGAGGCTGGGAGATTGTCTGGAGCTGGAAATCTCAGAAGGGGAGAGGCTGGGAGATTGTCTGGAACTGGGAATATCAGAAGGGGAGAGGCTGGGAGATTGTCTGGAACTGGGAATCTCAGAAGGGGAGAGGCTGGGAGATTGTCTGGAACTGGGAATATCAGAAGGGGAGAGGCTGGGAGATTGTCTGGAGCTGGGAATCTCAGAAGGGGAGAGGCTGGGAGATTATCTGGAGCTGGGAATCTCAGAAGGGGAGAGGCTGGGAGATTGTCTGGAACTGGGAATCTCGGAAGGGGAGAAGCTGGGAGATTGTCTGGAGCTGGGAATCTCAGAAGGGGGTTGGCTGGGAGATTGTCTGGAGCTGGGAATCTCAGAAGGGGATTGGCTGGGAGATTATCTGGAGCTGGGAATCTCAGAGGGGGAGAGGCTGGGAGATTATCTGGAGCTGGGAATCTCAGAAGGGGAGAGGCTGGGAGATTGTCTGGAACTGGGAATATCAGAAGTGGAGAGGCTGGGAGATTGTCGGGAACTGGGAATATCAGAAGGGGAGAGGCTGGGAGATTATCTGGAGCTGAGAATCTCAGAAGGGCTGAGGCTGGGAGATTATCTGGAGCTGGGAATCTCAGAGGGAGAGAGGCTGTGAGATTGTCTGGAACTGGGAATCTCGGAAGGGGAGAGGCTGGGAGATTGTCTGGAACTGGGAATCTCAGAGGGGGAGAGGCTGGGAGATTGTCTGGAACTGGGAATCTCAGAAGGGGAGAGAGGCTGGGAGATTGTCTGGGACTGGGAATCTCAGGAGCGGAGACGTTGGCGAGAGAGACGCGAGTTTGGAATCTGGCCGCGAGTCTGCTGCCAAGCCACACGTCGCAGCCGTCAGCGCCGCGTGGGCGCGTCCGAGTCGCATTCGACGTCAGAGCAGCTCGGGGCGGCAGTGGCCTCGGCGAGCGATCGAGTGGAGCGGAACGCGTGGGAGATAAAGACTTTTAAACAACTTTTATTGCTGCCAGCAGCAACAGCACCGGAGGCGATTCCGATACGAAATACACAAAGTCACAAATAACAAACACTATACATGCAGGTGCTGTGGCGCTAAATGCGTCGCGCAAAAAACACAAAATAAAAGCCACGTTCTAGATTTGAAGCTTTCGTGACTGCAAGGATTCATATTCTTGGGTTTTTCGGTAAAGTCACGTAGGTAAAAAAATAAAATTAATACAAGTAAAATAAAATCAAAAATAGAATAAAAATCACGACGTTTCGGAGGCAACACAAGCTTCCATCTTCAGGAGGAACCGTCACAGCACGCTTGCTGTATCAAGTATTTATTTATAATTTTATTTTTACTTTTATTAATTTAATTTTTATACCTACGTGACTTTACCGAAAAAACCCAAGAATATAAAAGCCACGTGGTGGTCGTGGTGGTCATCGTGCGCGCCACGGCGACGAGCGAGCGCTTCAGAAGGTGAACACGAGGGTGCCGTCCACGCTGGTACAGAGAGAGGGGCTATTCCGGCCCCGCAGCGTTCCAAGAAGACGCGCTGCACATCACCGGCATGTGTGTGGTACATGACGTGCTCCAGCCGGAGCCACGCCTCGAGCAGTCCCCTGAACACTGGAAGAACAAAGCAGGCGTCAGTGTCACTTTGCAGCATCTTTTTCCTTGTTCTGTAACACCGCAAAGAAAGAGGCGAACGCGGTGCGAGCGAGCGGGCAGGGCGGGGCGCGTGGCATTAACCTCCCGAGGTGTCGTCACGACGTCGTCACGGTGCCGTGGTGTCCCTCGGGATCGTGCGGGTAGAGGCGGTGCCGTTCCCTGACGGATACAAGTTTAAGTAGAATAGGTGAGGATGGCCTGACCTACGTAGGTATTCTATGATTGTGTTTTCCAATTCGTGTATTTTTCCAGCATTAACAGCCTTCAAAGTCAGCAATAAAATGGGGCTGTCTCACACCTTATCAACTTGTACTCGTACAATATGTTAAATCGACACAGGTGGGTGAGTTGGCTCTGGGTTTATGAGATTCGAGTTATCTGTCTCTGGGAAAAGGTCAAATTGAAATTGATGAAACACATTTGATTTTCCATTAATTCAAATATTAAACGTATTTTAAACAAAGTAATTATTTTAAAGAGCACAGAATGCAATTGTTATAGATTTGCGGGGCGAGTGGGGTCTGGGAGCGTGGCATCGGAGTGAGTTCGAGCGAGCGAGGAGCGGAAAGTGGCGAGCGAAGGTGGCCGCTCAATGTGGCTGCTCGGGGTGGAGGGGGGGGGGGAAGTTTGCTCCGGTGAAGGGGGAGGGGGTATTGAGCACAAGGGGAAACAGAGAGATAGAGAGACAGCAAAGATGATCACAAACCTGTCAACCCCTTATCAGTGCCCTACCTCATTAAGGACCAATTCAGACACTTATCGGTCACCCCCTTATGAATCTCAACGTTCATCCTACAAAGTCCCATCACAAGGGAGAAACACAAACACCTATCCACAAAAATCCCCCAAAATTACGTTACTAACGATATTATGCCCGTATCGAAACGGCTGTACGCTGTAAGGACCTAAAAACCTTAATTTCCCTGCACAAGAATACGGGCTAAACCATATGGGTTGACAGCTATTATTTAATAATTCACAGTCATGTCACAATTCACTTTGGGTCTTTGTGGGTCTGTGGGTCTCTGGGGGTCTCTGTGGGGTCTCTGTGGGGTCTCTGTGGGGTCTTTGTGGGTCTCTGTGGGGTCTCTGTGGGTCTCTGTGGGGTCTCTGTGGGGTCTTTGTGGGTTTCTGTGGGTCTCTATGGGTCTCTGTGGGGTCTCTGTGGGGTCTCTTTGGGGTCTCTGTGAGTCTCTGTGGGTCTTTGTGGGTCTCTGTGGGGTCTCTGTGGGTCTCTGTGGGTCTCTGTTGGGTCTCTGTGGGTCTCTGTATGTTTTGGGCCAACCCATGCGGAACAGGTCCTGGGGGGGGGGGGGGGGGGTGCGTGGGTGGGGGGGAATTCTAGTTTTTTTGACCATATTTCACCGCCAATGTGCAAGAGGAAAAAAGAAAACCACCGCCAAATCGTTGACACTAAGCCCAGCGGAGTATTTTTTTTTCACGGAGATTCGCGGTTCGACTCCGTCAGGCAGGCCACCCCGGTTTATCACTGTGGCTCTCTTTCTCTCTGTGTCTGTGTGTTTATTTAGAGCATCAGGGGAAGTCACGCGACCTCCGGTTGTGCCGTCTGTCTGTGCTTGCAACACCTCCACGGCGCACTCTTGCTGTGACCTCGCCATCGGTGCGCGTTGCATTTTGTTGTTGTCTTTGTTGTTGTCGTTGTTGCTGTCGTGGTTGTTGTCGTCGTTGTTGCTGTTGTAGTCGTTGTTGTTGTCGTCGTTATTGTCATTGTTGTCGTTCTCGTCCTTGTTGTTGTCGTTGTTATTGTCATTGTTGCTGTCGTCCTTGTTGTTGTGATTGTTGTTGTTGTCGTTGTTCTTGTTGTCGTCGTCGTTGTTGTTGTAGTCGTTGTTGTTATCGTCGTCGTTGTTGCCATTGTTGTTGTCGTCGTTGTCGTTGTTGTTCCAGCCTGGTGGTGCCGCTGCCGGCGGCGGCCGCGTCACAGGCGCTGCCCTTTGACCTGCTGCGAGCGCTGATTGGGAACGCCTCCACCTACAACCACATCAGGCCGGACGCGGACGGTAACGGAGAGACTCGCTCACAATCTGAACGTCATAGGTTATATATATTTGTGTCTGTAGCCTGCTCCCGGTGTACAAAAGAGGATGCGCTATTAAAACAAAAACCGTTATTTTCAAGCGAGAACGCTCACTATTACCGGGGATCGTTTGCAAAATACTTAGCGGTTTTTGTTTCGTTTTGTTCTCAGACACTGGTCTGTCTGTCTGGTCTACAGAGAGCAGTCTGTCTGTCAGTCATTTGCTAGAAACTCCACCAACGACCAGTCTGTCTGTCTATCATTGTTTAAATACCCCCACCAGAGATCGGTATGTCTATCATTGTCTGAATTCCCCACCAGAGACCCCTCTGTCTAGCGTTGCCTAAAGACCCCCACCAGAGATCCGCCTGTCTGTCTAGCGTTGCCTAAAGACCCCCACCAGAGACCCGCCTGTCTGTCTAGCATTGCCTAAAGACCCCCACCAGAGATCGATCTGCTGGTCACGGAATATTGCAGTTGAAACTGCAAATCACGTAAAGTGAATGACAAACTCCCTTTCCGTCGATGGTTTATCTTACACGATGCAGGTCCTCCCGTGACTGTGAACTGCAGCCTGTACATCACAAGCCTCGGATCCGTTGAAGAAACAACCATGGTGAGAGCTTCTTCGGCGTTGCACGAATATACGTCAACTTCAAGGACAGTGCATATCATTATCAGAGTTGTTTATTTTTGTTTGCATTTTGACTGCTTGTGTTGTGGTTATTGCAAACATGATGCCATGTATAAAGGTGTCAGTTTTTGTACCAGTTTAAAGGGTAAAAACCTATCACTATATTTTGCCACTGGTAAAGGAGGTCTCAGTGTAAATTCTTACCCCGAGCTCTCAATACTCTGATAGTGCGCTGTCTTTGAGTTGTACGCCTTTTGGCGTCATCTGGTCCAACACCAATGGAGACTAGGCTCTAAGAAAAGCTGTCTCGGGTGTGGACCAATCAACTTCAAGGACAGTGCATATCATTATCAGAGTTGTTAATTTTTGTTTGCATTTTGACTGCTTGTGTTGTGGTTATTGCAAACATGATGCCTTGTATAAAGGTGTCAGTTTTTGTACCAGTTTAAAGGGTAAAAACCTATCACTATACATCAGATGTTAGGGTCGGGGTCCCCCGTGTAGCCTCGAAAGGCTACACAGGAAACCTTTGCTTTTGTCTCTTTCATAGGCGCTCCTGCTAATGGCTACTAACAGCACTTGCCCCAACAGTCTGTTGAGAGGCTACACGGGGGACTTTTGCCTTTGTCTCCTTCATAGCTGCTGCTCGCTAACAGCATCTTGCCCCACCAGTCTGTCGAGAGGTTACACGGGGGACCTTTGCATTTGTACTCTTAGTTTTTTCGGTAAAGTCACGTAGGTAAAAAATTAAATAATAAAAACATTTTCTTTTTTATTTCATTTTTTACCTACGTGACTTTACCGAAAAAACTAAGAGTATGAATCCTTGCAGTCATGAAAGCTTCAAAGCTAGAACTTTGCATTTGTCTTCGTCTCCTTGCCGCCCACCGCCCACCGCCCAAAGGACTACACGGTGACCCTGTTCCTGCGCCATTGGTGGAACGACGAGCGGCTCGCCTTCACGGGCGCCACACGCCTCGGCTGGCTCGACCTGAGCCCCGAGGTGGCCACGTCCGTCTGGAAGCCCGACGCGTACTTCTCCAACGAGAAGAGCGCCGCCCTGCACATGGTCACCGCCGAAAACATGATGCTGCGAGTCTTCGCCAACGGGGACGTCTTTTACTCCGTCAGGTCCGCCTGGCACCCCTTCAAACCACCAGCCAATGGAATTATTTTTTCCCCACTGGCACAACCGAGCCGTGCCGGGGCCGACTTGGCCCGGGTGATGGCTATGGAGGTGCAGGGTGGTTGGTTGGTGGTGGTGGCGTGGATTTTTTTCTGGGTCCCTCCGGTTTTGACCCCCTCCCGTCATCCCCCACCTCTACATTTAGGAACGTGACTTTAGATTAGTTAAACTAAACTTCAGGGACTCCTCTAACCCGAACATTAAGGGGGGTTCGTAAGTGCGGGTTGCATTCGTAAGTGCGGGTAGCATTCATAAGTGCAGGTGGCGTTCGTAAGTGCGAGTGGTGTTCATAAGTGAGGGTCGTTCGTACGTGTGGTTCGTTCGTAAGTGAGGGTCGTGCGTAAGTGAGGGTTGTGTGTAAGTGCTGGTGGTGTTCGTAAGTGAGGGTCATGCGTAAGTGAGGGTTGTGTGTAAGTGAGGGTCGTTCATAAGTGCAGTTCGTTCGTGAGTAAAGGTCGTACGTAAGTGAAGTTCGTGCGTAAGTGCGGTTCTTGCATAAGTGAGGGTCGTGCATAAGTTCCTTAATAGGTGCGGGGTGTTCGTAAGTGCGGGTGGTGATGACGATGCTATTGTTGTTGTTGCTGCTGCTAATGATGGTGATGACGATGCTGTTGTTGCTGCTGCCGATGATGATGACGGTGATGACAATGCTGATGATGATGGTGATGACGATGATGAAGCTCGTAATGCTGCTAATTCTGATCATTTATCATGATGCTGCTGCTGTTGATGACTATCTCGCAGGCTGTCTCTGACTTTAGACTGCCCGATGAATCTTCGCCAATTCCCTGTCGACGTGGTGAAGTGCAGCATATACCTGGAGAGCTGTGAGTGACTCCTCCATGTCGCCACCCGAGCCTGCAAGCGATTCATTTTTCTCATCCTCCCACCCTTCACCCTCAAACACTCCACTGATGCGGCTTTGGAATCAACTGCGCGGCGCAAGCCTGAGTTGAGAGGTCAAGAGGCCTGTGTTGAGAGGTCAAGAGGCCTGAGTTGAAAGGTCAAGATGCCTGAGATGAGGGGCCAAGAGGCCTGAGTTGAGAGGTCAAGATGCCTGAGTTGAGAGGTCAAGAGGCCTGAGATGAGATGTCAAGATGCCTGAGTTGAGAGGTCAAGATGCCTGAGTTGAGAGGTCAAGAGGCCTGAGTTGAGAGTTCAAGATGCCTGAGTTGAGAGGTCAAGAGGCCTGAGTTGAGAGGTCAAGAGGCCTGAGATGAGATGTCAAGATGCCTGAGTTGAGAGATCAAGATGCCTGAGTTGAGAGGTCAAGATGCCTGAGTTAAGAGGTCAAGATGCCTGAAGGCGTCCTCTGATCTAATACAGTTTTGACACTAGTCTCAAAAGAACTGTCTATGGTGTGAACCAATCAGTTTTAAAGACAATGCATATATCAACAGAGTATGTTTTTTGTTTGCATCCTGACCACAAGTATTGTGGTTAATGCAGACATGATTCATTGTAAAAGGTTTCAGTTTGGTGTTTAAACATCTTAACACCTGTTTTGTTGCCAGAAAAAAGGGGGAAACCTATTCTCATAATACATTATTGTTCTCATTATTGTGAAGACAATTATATCAGAGCCACCCGAATGCTTTCCTCCGTCTTCTCTTGAGCGTCGCAGACAGCATGTCGACCAGAGATATCGTGTTCCGGTGGAGCTTGGAGAATCCTGTGGAGTACAGCGACCAGATCACCATGCCCGAGTTCAAGCTAGGAGACAAAACCCTGCATGAGGACTGCACCAAGAACTTCAGCACCGGTGGGTTGGAGGCACTCACCTTCACTCACTGAGCGCTCCACGTGAGAATCGCCTCCTCCTCAACCACCAATACCACTTCCTCCTTCTCTGTCTCCTCCTTCTCCTATACCACAACCACCTCCATTCCCTCATCCTCCACGTCCTCCTCATTATTATTAGTTCTGATTTCCCGAGGTGTGTCCTGAAGATTCTTGATGCAGTTTTCCTGTGATTCGTCATGTAATTTGGGCACCACGGTGGCAAGGAGATGTTAACTACCTAGTTTGGTATACAGAAGGTTGTGGGTTCAATCCCCACCCTGACGCCTGCTGTATATTTGGGGTTTGTATGTCTCTCTCCTCGTGGTTGCGTGGATTTTTCTCTGGGTCCTCCACACTTAGAAACACGCCTTCAGAGTATTTGGCTGATATGCACTTCCACACGATGATAAGAGGCGTCGTTGAGCTATCGCTGGTGATAGCCAGGTCGTTTCTAAAAAAAATCCACATAGCTCAGTTGTGCCTTACCTGGTAAAACAAAAAAAAAATTTATAGTTTATTTTAACCCATTTCTGAATTTGGCTGTGAGGATTGCTTTCCGTGTTCTTGACACGGTAATGATGGAACGGCGCGTTGAACACCTGCAGCACGTGACGATTTAATTTGTTTCATGGAAGGTTTGGGTGGTTTGTTGCAGAGCTTTGTGGTTCTCAGCCCATGGGTCCGCCCCTGGTTAATGCCACGGGTGTGAAACACCTTCACAATGCGAAGCCAGGATTTTCAGATAGGGGGGGAAATCCCTCCAGCAATGAAAAATGATAGGAGTTGTTAGTAAGTAAGGACTTGTCCCTTGCTTTTTATTCGACGCGTGTGCCGCGATGACGCTTTCATCGATCGAGGGTCGAATTCGAACCGTGTGTGATCGGCGTCACGCTCGCTGAAGGTGAATGCCTTCAGGGAAGTTGTGAACTGTATACACAACTGCGCACAATTCTGTGAGCCACTTATAACTGCTTTGCCATGACTGATTGCCAATTATGGACTCAGACTATTGTCCTTTGATCTCATAGAGTCTCTGGCACGCAATAATATGCTACACAGTGGCAGTGGGGGTCGCAAAATGCCGATTTATTACTAATAAACCCCAATGATCCGATCGATGTTAGGGATTTCGATCGGATCATTGGGGGGGGAGGTGCCACCTTCAACATAACTCAATGGGATTCCTGCAGTCTCACAGATTATGATATATTCAACGAGGAGGCTATGGGTGTGCCGGCGTTACCTTTCAAATAAAAAAATTTAAAATTTTATGACTCAGTTGGGAAACACAAAGGAAGTGTGACCCCCCCCCCCCATAATTGTGACATTTTAGAAGGGCCCTCCTGAAAATGTCTCGCGACTCGGACAACGCAAGGAGGCAAACCAAACAAAACAAGTCAATATCAGGGCCATGTTATAAGACAAATTCAGGAGTCGTTAGTTTTTTTTTTTTATCTAGCTCGGGTTAGCTTACACGCTAATCTTGGAGCATGAGCCAACTGTTAATGGCAAACCCAAGCCTGCATTAAAGCTTGCTAATGATTACGATCACGGAGGGAAGAGACGGCGAGGTGCCGAGCCTCATAGCACAGGATCGGAATCTGTTTTTGTCCTGGAGGGGGAGGATGAGGGGGAGTCTCAGCATCCCACTGGCGACAAGCCAGCCAGGAAAGTGAATGAGATTTTTTCTTCTTTTCACATCACCTTCCGCGTGACTTCACTTCGCCCCAGGCAACTTCACGTGCATCCGTGCGACGTTCTCCCTGCGCCGCAAGATTGGCTACTACATGTTCCAGATCTACATCCCCACCCTGCTCATCGTAATTATCTCGTGGGCTGCCTTCTGGGTGAACATGGAGTCGGCGCCGGCACGCGTCGCGCTAGGCATGACCACGATCCTCACCATGACCACGCAGAGCAGCGGCTCGCGAACCTTCTTGCCCAAGGTGACTGCAGTGATCATCACGTGGCCACCACAGTGACCACCACATGGCCACTCGTAACCATCGTAGTAACCAACAAGTGGCTACCACGTGACGACCACAGTTATGACCACATGACCATCAAGTGACGACCACGTGGTCACCATAGTGACGACCATATGACCATCAAGTGGTCACCATAGTGACCACCACATGACTATCATGTGATCACCAGGTGATCACCACGCGGCCACTACATGGATGATATGATTTTGCTTTGGCAACCTTTGCTCTGATTTTGGTTGGCGTCATTGTCGTATCTACTTTATTATACGCCAATGTTTTTTTGTTTGTTAATTTATCTGACCCGCATCACTCTTCCAAGTGAGACTCCTATCCTGGTCAATTGGATTTAGGCAGAAGCTAAATCATCCAAAATACAGTACAGCACACCGGTGTGTTGGAGAGCAAAGTCCACAATCCGAGGTATGCTGTACTAGCAACGAATTGGAATGTTCTGTTTACGTGACAAACCTTACTAATTGGCTGTGTCGGGTGGTGGCAGGTTTAACGACACATTTATATATTTTCGCGATCTAACCCAAAAAACCTGTATTATGGATGATATTGGTCGCGAAAGCCTATGTGTTAAACATAAGCTAAGTCAGCTGCGATTTTAAGACCTCACGTTATGAGGGGCCACGAAATACGGAAAAAAATTCTACAAAGCGTCAAGTTCGTATATAATATTGGAGTGCCGTGGTGTCAATATATTATCTACCTCGCCGGGTATACAGGAGGCCGTGGGATCCATCCAGACCTTGACTCCTGCTATATATTTGGAGTTTGCGTGTCTCTCTCCCCATGGTCGTGTAGATTTTTCTCCAGGTTCTCCAGGTTTTTCCCCTCCATATTTAGAATCAACAGCACACGTTTAGAGAGTATTTGGCTGCTGTAAATTTCCACGTGATGATAAGCCACTTTGTTGGCCTGTCATTTGTGATAGCCAGTGGGTCGCTTCTAAAAAAGAGCTACATAGCTCAGTGGGGCCTTACACCCGCTTAATATTAATAGTTGTTTTAGTTTCGTTTAAGTTTACCATAATCAGTTGAAAAATAAAGGAGATGTGGGAAAAATACTCTCTGCAATGGTTATGTTAAAATGTACAGACATTCCTCGATGGGGCCTCTTAACATAGGTTAGGAGCCCCCAGATTTGGTGATAATCGGGCCCTGGGTTAAAGAGAAAGAACCCTGAAACCTCCTCTCACACAGCTGTCGTACGCCACTGCGATGGATGTGTGGATGACTGCCTGCATGGTCTTCGTATTCGCCGCCTTCCTCGAGTACATCGCCGTCACCTACGCGCTCACTAACGGCCACGACCTCCTCCTCAAGCTCGCCGAGTGCAAGGTTCGTTATGAGTTCTCAGACACAGTTTGCGGATCGCAATAAGACTGGCCTAAAGGCCCAAAAGCCTAAAGGCCCAAAAGCCTAAAGGCCCAAAGGTCTAAAGCAGGCATGTCCAAAGCCAATCACGGCCCGCGGTCAGATTTCATACGGCCCGCAGCTTCGGTCTTATAATGTGTTATTTATGGCTCGCTAGCTCTGTCAGAATAAATAAATAATTCCTCCTTTCGCCACACGGTGGCAGCACCATTCTAGTGCTCTCTGGCTCTGCATCCGTGCCGCGAACCCTTCTCGAATCATTTCTGCCATGGCGACTGCAAAATAAAAGTTGACAGTGAGGGCCGCCGCTTTAATGGCAGCTGGACAAAAGCAGGTTTCCAGAAATGCGGTCATTCGCTAAGAAAATGCTGAGCTTATTCGGCTCCACATATTTGTGTGAGCAAACATTCTCAGTCATGAACTTAAACAAGAACCGATTGAGGTCAAGGATTAGTGACTCCCACTTGCGTGACATTTTACGCATCTCAACCACTGCCCTCAAGCCAGACCTGGTCTCTTTCCTGAAATCTATATCTCAGTAACACCCTTCTCATTAGTGTCAGCAAGTTATCTGTTGCTTGATCAATCTGAAATTTAGTGTTTTGAACGGTAACATCTTTCAATATTAACAGTGAAAAGCCTAAAGCACACTAATGCACTCGGACTTATGGCACTTGTTTGATTAAACTCTTGAATATGATTTGGTTATAACTGTTGATGTTATGTACCTGTAGATGTGACACAAACTATTGCTTTCTGAAAGATCTTGTAAAAGACAAGGGCAAAACTCACTTGTTATAAAGATTAATGATAACAGACCAATTTGCATACTTATAACTCCTGTTTAAAATGTTCATGAGGCACAGATATTTAACTCATGGAAATTTAAGGTATTCTATACAGTTTGTTCAATGTTACCTGACTGAATGAAAGGCAGAATTGTGTTTTTAGAGTTGTTCACGTCTGCCTGAGTGGCTTATATTTGGTTACATTGTCAGTTGAAAAATAACAATGAAAATTGTTTTATAACAGTGTGTATTTTCAAGTAACTTTTGTGGTTTAAAAAATGTCAGAATGAACTATTGGCCCCCGGGCATCTTCACTTTATCAAATTTGGCCCTCTTTGCAAGAAGTTTGGACACCCCTGGTCAAAAAGGGCAAAAAGCCTAAAGGTTCAAAGGCCTAAAGGCCCAAACATCCAACGGCACCAAAACGTTAAGCGGCCCGTAACAACAACAACGATAAGAGTGATATCGAATTGCTACATTAGGTTGTGAGAATTGCCATTAAACTCGCCCGTTATGTTGAGCTGAAACATTCGTAAACGTACAAATGTATGTAGGTTGAACTTCTTTCGCACCACTGTACGTAGCCAACCGCGCTGCTAATCAGAGGTTTTGTACGGGGGGGGGGGGGGGGGATGACAACAACACTAAACACAAAAAGCAGTTCTAAAGAAATTCGTTTGTCAATCTAGGTGATTTAAAAGTTTATAGCTCCCAGTGGCTTACTTATATCGGAAGGAACAGCATTCTAGATGGCCGCAGAAATGCATCAGAAAGCACCGTGCGATACGGTGACCATCGTCTTTGTTTGATGGCTAATTGGAACATTATTAAATGCTTGTGTAGTGAAACTATGGCTGTTAGTAAACTAAACTATTTTCATTTTATCAGGTAAGACCACACTGAGCAATGTAGCTCGTTTTCAGAAGCGACCTGGCCACAAATGATCGCTCAACGAAGTGGCTTATCGTGTGGAAATGCTTAGCAGCCAAATACTCTAAACACGTGATGTTGATTCTAAATTTGGAGAGAAAAACTGGAGGACCTGGAGAAAAGGCCACGCAATCACCACGGGGAGAGAAAATACGGAAACTTTAAATATACAGATGCCGTTCAGGGAACGGGCTCAAACCCCCGAGCCTCCTGTATATCAGGCGAGGTAGTTAACATCTCCCTAGCCTCCCCCCCCCCATCATGATCATCTCTCTCTCTCCGTGATGCAGGAGGAGGAGGCGGAGGTCGACAAGAAGACAAAGAAGAAGACGGAGTTTGGAGAGAAAGTTTCCTCCCTGGCTCAGGGCATTGACAACGTCTCCCGTGTGTTCTTCCCCATCTGCTTCCTCTTCTTCAACCTCCTCTACTGGTCTATCCTGCTCGTGGTGCTCAGCGAGGGCGAGGAGTAAAACGGCAATAGACTAAGGGGAATAGACTAAAGGGGATTGACTATGGGGGATAGACTAAAGGGAATAGACTAAAGGGGATAGACTAAGGGGAATAGACTAAAGGGGATTGACTATGGGGGATAGACTAAAGGGAATAGACTAAAGGGGATTGACTAAGGGGAATAGACTAAGGGGAATAGACTAAGGGGGATAGACTAAGGGGAATAGACTAAAGGGGATAGACTAAGGGGGATAGACTAAAGGGGATTGACTAAGGGGGATAGACTAAAGGGAATAGACTAAAGGGGATTGACTAAGGGAGATAGACTAAAGGGGATAGACTAAATGGGATTGACTAAGGGGGATAGACTAAGGGGAATAGACTAAAGGGGATTGACTAAGGGGGATAGACTAAAGGGGATTGACTAAGGGGGATAGACTAATGGGGATTGACTAAGGGGGATAGACTAAAGGGGATTGACTAAGGGGGATAGACTAATGGGGATTGACTAAGGGGGATAGACTAAAGGGAAGAGACTAAAGGGGATTGACTAAGGGGGATAGACTAAAGGGGATAGACTAAGGGGCTGTCCATAAATGACGTCACGAACCTGGGGGGGGGGGGGTCAGAGATTTGTGACGATGTGGGGGGGGGGGGGGTTTAAGAAATGTGACGTCACATCAAAATAGCAACTTTAAATAAATATAGACAACACGTTCTACTTGTGAAGTACCGGTGAAGACACTTGACGCCGAGGTGGAGGCACACGTATATTTATTTAACACAACTCGTTCGTGGCATACAGCACTGGAGGGGGTAGCGGCCCCCTCACCCGACTAGCTAAGGATACACTTCCTAGCTAATCCTAGCCTGCCTCTCAGTCCTCCACTAATGGGCTAGGGGAGGCTATTTGGCCCGACACTGGTAAGTCGGGCCCGGTACCCGGAGTCCCAGACCAGCTCTTAGAAGAGCACCGGCTCTGGCTCTCGGGACCACGCCGCTGGCTCAGTCCTGTTCGGCCCTGATAAGGACATCGAACGAGGGGAGTCCAGGGCTCTAAGACGTCTTCAGTCTTCTCTGGTTAGCTTTTAACATAACTGACTCGAGCCCCTATAACGTCCCCTTTTATACCCAACCCCTCCTTGAGGGGTGGGGCCCCGGGGGATCATAACGCCGAACCAGCCCCCCCCCAGGGTGTCTGGCTCGGACGTCGCAGAGGGCATCTCCCCGTGCACACACGTAGCCCCGCCCACTGTGTTTGTTTCCCATAGACTGCCATGCATAACGGGCCCTCTCTTTAACACCCCTACATCACCCCCCCCCCCCGCATAGCTCGCAGCCGTCCCGGCTGCCAACATACAAAATGACAATAAAAATGAATTTATACCGTAACCGCGCGTGTGCCTCACTAATTTTCAACAATAACAAGAACGGCAACAAGAACACAACAAAATGCAACAGCAAGAAGAGAAAACAACCCGACGCACCTCCCCCTTGAATAAATACGAATTCCGTAAAAAAAAACAACCTATATACAATTTGCAGGGAACCCACCATACACACAACACCAGGTGAACCCAACGTATGTACATTTCAATGGGCAGGGAACACACCACCCACACAACACACAATGAACACAACCTATATACACATCTTCCGGCCTCATAACAGTCTGTGCATTTTTGCGCGCGTCCTTGCAGCGGGCCCCTCACACGGGGTAACCCCGGGTGGCGGACCGTCAGGTGGCAATTGTCCGTCCCGGAGTGAGACCTCCTCCGATGCCGCGTGACCGTTGGTATCCCCAGAAGGGGTGGTCGGGCGTGATCCCGTCAGTCTTGATGCACCTGGAGGTGGCACGGCCGGCAAGGCATTAGGTGAGAACGGCGGAGACGGACCCAGTGAGTCGGTCGACCCCCCACACGTTTGGCCACGCATGTGTGAAGTGGGTTTGTGTACCGCAACGAAGGGTTTTAACCTAGAGGGGTGCACGAACCATCGCCGCTTCCCCCATTTAATGCGCACGCACTGTGGTCGCAAAATTTCGACCACCTCCACAGGGCCCCGCCACGGCCGCACTAGCTTAGGGGAGGTAGCCAGGGGCACTTGGGGACAGTGCAACCATGCCTTGTCCCCCGGCTTCCACTGTATCACGTGCGCCCGACCCAGCCTGAGGCGCTCATTCGCCTTTTGACGGAGTTCCGAGTTCAACATAGCAGCATCCCGCGCCTCTGTTAATTTGGCCAGATTAAATTTGACGTGGTCAGCCAATTTAGTTTTTCCTTGCGGGTCGGGGATCTGCAGCTGGGCGCGAACAGGCGGGTCGGGTTCGCGACCGTACATGAGGTAAAAGGGGGAAAATCCCGTAGCTGCATGGGGTGCCATCTGGTATGCCGCCAAGACCCCTTGAATATGCAGGTCCCAGTCAGTCTGCGAATCTGAGACCTGCTGTGACATCATTGACGAAATGGTGCGATGCAGGCGCTCGACCATTCCGTCAGTCTGCGGGTGATACGGGGAGGTACGAATTTTCTTCGTGCCTAAGAGGTCACAGACTTGTTTAAGTAATTTACTGGAAAAATTTCTGCCCTGGTCGGTCAGCAGCCGCTCCGGAGCACCTTTGTCCAGGACGTATCCCTGAACAAAGGCCTCCACGATGGCTGCTGCCGACTGGTTGACAAGGGGCCAGGCCATGGGCCAGCGCGTAAAATACTCGACACCTGTCAACAAATACCTATTGCCCCTGGGGGTGGCGGGAAATGGGCCCAAAATGTCCAGCGCGACAAGCTCATTTATTCTGGATACCTTGATCGATTGCAAGGGCGGGTTAGACTCCCGCGCCGGCGGTTTCCGTTGCGCACACCGAGGGCATGATCCCAATAGATCCCCAACATCCCTCGTCATACCAGGCCAAAAAAAATCAAGTTGTAGCAGTGCAAGAGTCTTTTGGGTCCCCAGGTGTAATAGGCGCTCATGCGCGGCCCACACCACCTTGCCTCGCAACTCAGAGGGGACCACCAGCCGATGTCGCTGGGATTTGCCGTCCCAATGCATCAGCAGACCTTGCACCATTTCCCATGCATCTGAATCACCTTTCACCCGCCCAGCACCCCCGACGCGACGACGCCACCCGAGGAGGGAGGTATCCTCCATTTGGAGGCGCCCCCATTCAGTGACGGGCAACCCCAACAGGGAATCTCTTCCCTGTTGTTCAATCGAATTATTAGGCAGGGGTTCGTCGTCGTCGGTGGCTGCCAAGATCGGAACCGATGCGTCCCCTGAAGGCCTGCAACGTCCCGACCCCAGGAGGCATGCACATTCCGAGGTGGTTGGCATGCGCGACAGAGCGTCCGCGTTGGTATGGCGAACGCCCTTACGGTAGGTGGTTTCAAAATCAAAGTCCTGGAGAACCTCCAACCATCGAGACAACTGTCCCGATGGTTGTTGAACTCGCAGGGCATACTGTAGTGCCGCATGATCTGTGCGGACGGTGAAATGCCGACCGTACAGATATGGGCGATACTGTTGGATGAAGTAAACAATTGCCAACAGCTCCCTACGGGTGACACAATATCTTTGCTCCGCAGGAGACAACACCCGACTACCGTACGCGACCACCCGTTCCACGCCATCAACCACCTGGGAAAGCACACCCCCAATACCCGTGTTGCTCGCATCGGTGTCGAGCAAAAAGGGCTTAGAAAAATCTGGGTAGATCAAGGGAGGGGCTTTTACCAGGGCGTCCCGAAGGGAGCAGAAAGCAGCCTCCTCCTCTTGACCCCAGTGGAACCGAACCCCTTTAGATGTTAAAGCGTGCAGGGGTTTTGCAATTGTCGTAAAATCAGCAACAAACCGTCGATAATACGACGCAAACCCAATGAAACTCCTGACCTCTCCCACCGAGGTGGGAGTCGGCCAGGAGCTGACACACTGCGTTTTGGCGGGATCGGTAGCAATACCTGAGCGTCCCACGATGTGCCCCAAATAACGCACCGAATCACGCAACAAATGGCATTTTTGGGGCTTGAATTTCAAATTAGCAGCCCGCATCTTTAGGAAAACCGCCCGCAACCTCTGGAGATGTTCGTCAAAAGTTTTACTAAAGACGATAACGTCATCCAAATAAATGAGGCACGACTCCCATTGCAATCCAGCCAAAACCAATTCCATCAAACGCTGGAAAGTTGCCGGCGCTGAGTGTAAGCCCATCGGCAACCGGTTGAATTGGAACAGGCCGTGCGGTGTACGGAAAGCAGTTTTAGGCTTAGAATCATTGTCCAGAGGAAGCTGCCAGAATCCCGAAAGTAAATCTAGTGTGGAAAAGAATCGCGCTCCCGCCAAGGCGTCCAGCGATTCATCCATCCGAGGGAGCGGGTATGCGTCGGCAACCGAAATTTTGTTAAGACGCCGGAAGTCAACGCAAAACCGCAACGAACCGTCCTGCTTTTTAACCAGGACGATCGGCGCTCCCCAAGGGCTGGTGGAAGGAGAAATGATGTCGGCGGCTAACATGTCATCAACAGCCGATTTGACATGGTCCTTTTCGGCGGGACTCAACCGAAACGGATTTTGTCGAATTGGCGCGCTGTCACCCGTCAATATGGTGACGCAGCAGGTGAGTACAACCCAAATCGTATTTATTCCGGCTAAAAACGTCGGAAAATTCCCGCAGTAGTGTTTTAAGTTGTTGACGCTCTGAATCTGACAGGTCCGTCGATCCCGCACAAAGCGCCTCGAGCCACCCTTCATCGTTGTTCGAATGTGGTCGCGACGCAGGGACAGTGCTGGCGTGATTTACGACGGGTTCCTCACAAGGCACCGGCGTTGCGTGAGCAAGCACGGTCCCCTGTGGGACCACCACCGTCTGCGAGCCCACATTGAGGACCGCGATGAAGGGTTCACCGTCCCCTCTTACTATGGTCTGGGCCGGAAGTAAATGAGGTCCACTAACCCCGGCCCTAGACGGCCCCAACAGAACCCCTTGGGCCCCAATACCCTTAGCGAAGGGCCGCCGAAGTTTCAAAGGTATCAACATTTGCGCCCCCGGAGGGACGCGCACT